CTTCCTTGTGGCTGTACTTTGACTGAATATGCAGATGATGGCCTTTTGCTAGTACAGTCAAATATCCGCGCCGGGCTGGAGCATTTGGCTAAAGACTGTCTCAGTAGGATCTCGCGATGGGGCGAACGAAATCGCTTGACTTTTGCTCCCCATAAAACTGTCGTGGCCTTCTATTAGATTCAATTTCGTAAAACGAAAGGAGTCTATTTGCTATGTCGGTTTAGTTTTGGAAAAAAACTTTTCTTTCATTGAACATATTAAGGCAATTAGTGAAAAAGTAAAAAATAACTTCTATCCGCTAACGAGAATTTCAAAGGCCACCTGGGCTCTCTCTTTTCTTACGCTCAGGATCATATACGGAGCAACCTACCTGGGATGCGTGTGCTACGGGGCACCTGTCTCCAAAGCCAGCAACCAAGCCAGGACGGTTAGCACTGAGCCCTACCTGTACTCGCGGGCGTACTCCCGGTCGATCTTGAGGTTCAGCGACCTGCTGCTATGTACTACAATGCGAGACCTAATTTGTCGGCAAGCTTTTTAGCACAACGTGATCGAAATGAAACTACTATATTGTACGTGTACTATATTGTTTAAACCATTAATGGACGTTTGGGGTGAGCTTATAACTGAATGGCAGTGTAGATCTTCTATTAAGGGCCGCCACCTATATCAGTTCTTCCCATCCATGCATGAGCGGCTGGAGAGAACATGGTTGGAGGTGGATCACTGTGTTGCCCAATTACTTACTGGTGACGGCAACTTTAAAAGCAAATTGTTCTCATTTTAACTTGTTGATTCACCATGGTGCCAATGTTCGACAGCGGAGCTGCAATACGAGCAGTCCGCCCATCACAAACTCTGGGAATGTGATCTCTGGCAGTATGAACGTAACACTTTGTTAAATAATTTAATTGTTTCGTCAGGTGTAGCTTATTATACTTACCTTGTGGAATCTGGAACAAATTTCCGTGCGTTTAGGCGCTTTTGCCATACCTATTATTGGAAGCAAGTATAACAGCTCACACATAGGACCCACTTAGATTTTATTCAAATTTCCGTGGTGCTTGGCGACTGGGCTTCAACCAGTTATACAGTCTCTTCTTGTGCCTTTAGGCTTAATTCATTCTGATTCTTGCAGTAATTCACCGAGGGACGTGGAAACTATAATTTTTTCTCTTCTCCTCTTATAATATCTTCTGATTCATTTCGTTGCGGGAACCAAGACAGTTATTCATGTTCCTGAGACGCGCTGGACTTCAGTGTTCCGTTGTTTTCATGGTTGTAGCTACTGTACCTGGCTTACAGGAGTTGCAGCGGTTTCGGGAGGTTGTGGCGGGCTTTTCCAAATAAAAAAGGCATAGTTTATGTGATACGTGAACTTGTATGTTTGTAAATGCACTCATGATACAGAATAATTCTAGTGTGGGGCAACGTTAAAAAACCATTGCAGAAGTGCCCCGAATATTGTATGCCTTGTAACCTAGTAGTAGCGTAGTGTAAGACGGCCGTGCTAGCGCCCATAGCTTAGGTTATCCTAGTTTGGGTTCCTGACTTCCGCCAATATATTTTAATGGCTTCGTTAATATATGTACATACTTTGAATTAATAAAATCTTGATCGGGATTTAATACCTCCCACATGTTATAATATATTATTATATTGCTTCAGACCATAATCTACCTGTGCTCCGAATTTCTCTGGTCCTTTCAGTCATTTAAATATGACTGAGTAACAACTATATACACCAAATAATTCTTATAGCATGCTTCAGTATTCACGCGCAACGGGCGCGATGGCTTATTAGCATATTTCATGTATAAGTTTTGTGTTTCTATACCGATTTCTTTGATTCTTTTTTTATTGAATCGGTAATAATGTTAGCTTGTTTTTATTAAGGATTAATGAGAGTATTATAAACGTAAGTGTAAACAAACATAAGCAGAAAGCTCCGAACTGCTAAGCTATCGGGAGTTACACGTGTTATTGTGAGTCAACCATAAAGGTTGTGGGATATTTTTTTTGATAAGTTTATGTAAAATATTTCCGACATACTTTATATCTATGTAGCTTTAACTATTAAGGCTGTACACGCGACGGAAGCTTAAAATGGAGTTGCTTCTCCCGTTTTCCACATATTCTTTCACTACTCTACTCCTATAGATTGTAGCGTGATGAAAAGTATACTATAACCTTCCTAGGACTATGAAGAATAATTATACCAAACACACATAAAACTATACCAGTTAATGGCAATGTGTCTTTCAATGAATGGGCAACCATTGGCATCTATAAAGGAAACGCCTCTATGAGTTTTCTAATGAGAGGACATTTTTTATCACAATCGAATTTAATATATATGTATGGTAGGAAATATTCTAAATTGTATAAAAAGGTCTGCGCTATTGCAAAGTCGCGGTACTTGAGCTCCAAAATAAAGAACAGTACCAACGTCATTAGAGCGACTTGGAATATTATTAACAGTGAGACGGGAAGGTCTAAAAAGAGAAGTAATTAATATAGTCTTCTAATTGACACTAATGTAATAAAATCAGGCCTAGAAGTTGCAGCTGCATTTGAAAGTTTCTTTTCGGACATACCTATATCCACGACTAAGTCATTGAATTCATCTCCCACTGTTGCAGAACTTCTTAATCACATATATGACGCGTGGGAGGACTCAAGCGATGCTTTGGGCAATTTTTGTGACTTATCCAAGGCGTTCGATTGTGTCCTTCATGACACATTGATCAGGAAGCTATCCCACTATGAAATAAGAGGTAAATCTCTGGATCTTCTTACCTGATACTTGAGTAACAGGATTCAGAGAGTCAAGATAAACGGAAAAGTCTCCGCTGGATCTGTTGTCAGGATGGGGGTTCCGCAGGGGTCAATTCTCGACCCTATTTTGTTTCTTATATGTATACATAAATGACATACCTTGTAAAGGATAATTACAGAATATTACTGTTTGCGGATAATACTTCGTTATTATTTAAACTTAAACGTAGACAATTAGTTATTGATAATGTGAACAGTGGTTTCTCGGAGATACAGAGTAGAGTAGAGTACACTGGTTTAGTGCCAACAACCTATTACTAAATGAAACTAAAACTAAATGCATTAAATTTACAACACTAAATGTGAAAACATGTCTAAATATGAAAACCAGCGTAGGTACTAATTAAGGGTGAGGAGTTGAGCCAAAGAAGAGTTGAGAAGAAGAAAGAAGAAGAAAGAAGAAAATTTGAGTGTAAATAAATTTATAAATGACATTGAAGATAAACTTTACAGTACTGTTTTTATAAAATAAAAGACTACCTAGATGATAGTCTGGCTTGGGAATAAACTGCTGTAACGTCCACACAGGTCATGTTGACATGTTTGTAACATATAGTTACATTACATTTCTTTTTTATACGCAATTTGACATTATTATTTTAATGTGACATTATTTTAATTATACAATTATACAGTAAAGGCATACACCTACCTATAATAACTAGTCGAGGTTGCGGTTTCAGGATCGGCTGAACTACCTACTTATAATTTTGAGCGCCTAAAAATAATGAATAGCAATATTTTACCGAAATGATCATTTTTATGACAAGGTCTTAGGCACTTTGGAGTGATTTCACTCAACAAGTCAATAATCCTACGAAAGTTATGATATAATGATGGCTGTCCAACATTTCCGAGATGCTGCAAGTACCTAATGTAAATAAGTACATACTGTCCCTACATCATCGTTATCCATTGCTGCATCACCGTCAGCACTCAGTAGGACACACTCAAATGGTACACACGACTAAGCCTGATCTCATAAACCGTCTCGTTTACAATGTTAGTTATTTACCTCTTTATTGAAATCGAAAGTCAGTCAAAAATATTGAAGAATACTTACAGTTGAGATTATTTTATTTTTAGAGATTACGTCACAGTGTTTTGGTTGACCAAGAAGAGTTCTAAACATCAGCAAGCCGCTGCTATGGAACACCCCCGAGTCCGTCAGTTACAATTACAAGATTAACGCGAGACCCCTCTCGCGCTTGTCTGTGTCGTTTAAAATATATCTTTTGTCAGAGTTGCAATTTTATGATTCGAATTTCTTACGTATACTCATACCGTCGTAGGTACGTACGAGTAGTTAATATCTGTATCTGTATAATGTCTACCTACCCCTCTAGCTTAAGACCGAAATTAGTAACTGATTACAATCTAAAATCTGTGGGATTAGTTTGTGTCAAAAATCGACCTCTTTCGAATTTTGTTTAATGGAAAATCATCGAATTACTGCTCCCGCCTGGGTGAGGCGGGAGGGAGTGTCAGAATCTTACTGACTAAAAACCACCCCGTTCGTTCTCCTGCACGTCGACCCGGGGCCCCTATTACCCGTTAGGTTCTCCGCGACTTTGTATTGAGATAGGTTATGAAATTAGCAGTTAGAGATTTTGGATTGAACTTTTTCGGTCGTTATTACTGACGCCGCCACATTACACAATACTTGAATGGCGAGTGAGCTGTTCCGGTATCACTAGTGGAGACGAGCCGCGTACCTCACTGATGATGAGTGAGGTACGCATACGTTTCGCTTTTTCCAGGGTGAAACCTCATCAGTCATGCCATCTTATTAACAGTAAAAATCTGTATCTAAGCAAATAAATTAGTATTTTACCAATTGTCATAATTAAAACTACATTAATAAAGCCATCTACTTCTGTATTTAAGTATATTCGAAATATCTTTTTAAAATTCCTTAGATAAACTATTTGAAATTATTAAAAAAATATTAAAACGAATACGATTATTAAATATTTCAATTATTGAGCAATCTATAATGGTCTTCCACATCAGTCCTACCAGTCAAACATCAACGAATTACCGAAACATAATCACCTCAACATTCAAACGCGAGGCATCACCCATTAGACAACGGTGCCTATAATGACCTCTAATGCGAAACTAATAAAGTTCACATTTAGAGGAGGCTCACCACAGAAATATTTGTAAGTTACCTGACGAGTTGGTACTGTTGGTAGTTGGTGCTGGCAACAGTTTAGTGGACACAGTCGCGTCGGCCGGTCGTGCGAGAGCCGCGACACCACCGTGAGTAGAAGCCGTACGACGACACGACACGAGCCGCTGCCCGCTTGTGACCAGCTTATTGACAGGCAGGATATCTGACCCACACGTAATTGAACAAATCGTCCCTTTTACTCTGTTCAATTGAAAAGATATCGTCGTTGGGAATAATTTTAATATAACCGGTTCCTGTAGGTACCCGGTAGAGATCTAGTAGACATAGATACGTGTGGGTGGCTCCGGTCGAGGCAGTGGATTTATAAATATATTTTAAATAATTTGTTGTAGAAAATGTCGAAGAAAGTATTGGAGTCGAAGCCGAAGGCGAGCGCCAGCAGCGACAATGTGACGGAGACCACTCCGCTGGTGGGCAAGAAGGTGAGCTTTACTGCAAGTTGTTTGTGTTGCTTCACGGCGAGGTCATTGATTGAAGGGCCGACTCCATGTGTAACCGATGCGTGGAAGGGCATCATTCATTAACTCACAATTTACGTCACTTTAATTCTTCTATCGAATATTTTTGTATATATTTACGTAGCATTCATATTTTTTAAACAATTCCATAATAATACGTTAATTAGACACCTCTTTATCATAGCAGGAGCACCGAGCTGCGAATGAATCTGTCTGTATCTTACGCTCAGCAAACAAGATATTTCATTTTACTCGTTCACTCGTTGTACACACAGACAGAAACCTAATCAACACTTGTGCCTATTTCTGAATGTGTTTATTTACTTAGAAAATCCTTTACTCTGATATGAGTTCCTTCTATTCTGTGACATGATTTTTGTTGACAATTAACACTCATGTTCTCTCATGTTTTGTTTTGAATAAACTAGGTAGATGCCTCAATAGATATATACTCAGGTACAGATGACTAAGAACTCAACTAGAGTAGGTTTAGTACACAAACAAAACACATTATATCTTGCACATGTCTAGTACTGTCAAATAGAAATACGAAGTATTAGTAGTGATTATACTAGTATTCATATCAAAAATACCAGATTCAATAACGCACCACACGTGGAAGTATTTTGTGAACTCATCCGATTGCGCAATGTAGGTAACCGTACCTTGTTTTGAAACATGTTTTAAGTAGATAGGTAACCTCAATAATTTATCAAAATCTACAGATCGTACACTACCACTAATAGGACCATTGTGTAAAAATAACAGCTGCATCATTAGCAAAACAATAAAGATAAAAAATAATCTAGTTTTTGTTACTTAATTTATTAGTTTGACATTTAAATAAAAAGCTCGCAGATTTCTGTATGATAATATTATAATAAAAAATGCATTAATTAGACACTATAATCCTATTAGATATTCTTTCGCTAGATCCATATCTATAATAAAGAATGTATTTATAGTACAATATGGCGGCTACCTATAACTAAATACGTTCGTGTTCTGCCCACCATCAAAATGTCCATTACGTTAACAACCTATTGCGCAATATTTACTGGATACAGTTTTTTTTGTCACAGTCTGATATAAGCATAAAGACGCCTTGTTTCTATGGTACCTACAAGGCTATTAATTCAAAATGATAACGGGGATCTCTTGTGTGCTAAGATGATGATGAGTGCCGACATTGACTGAGATAGTGAATCCGTTAAAAGCAGCTGCAAATTTTTTGATGATAATGTGAAAAATTTGTATGGCAGGATGGAGATGGGGAGCGCCAGGGTCTGACGATGCAGCAGACGTCCATCCTGATTGCCGGCGAAATGGCTGGCAGCGGTGTGCTGGCACTGCCACGAGCTCTCGTCAAGACCGGTAAGATTTCGGTGTTAATCTTAATGTTGCTGAGCGTTAAATAGTTTGCTTGCGCAGTCTTTGTACTTTAGTTTATTGGGCACACTGTTCCTGGACTTTGGGAACTTTGTGTTCTGTTGTGTATCTGTGGTAAAGTCCATGGTTATAATATAGTCTATAGTGATAGTCTATCTGTGGTGCGTGGCTGAGCCCGCGAATTTGTAAAAAGATAAGACGAGATAAAACAGTTTGTCAATAGCCTTCACTCGTTTCTTAGTTGTATTCCGATTATGGAACCTTATTCAACATAGTTAGATAATTAGGTACGACCTATTGATGACATTATGGCAAATGCGATTATCACGAGTAACTTAAATTGTAGGACTGATATGCAGCTTGGCTTGATGTTCCCTTTCAGTCGAAGACAGGAACTAACGTGATTAGGTATCTGTAATGAACTAATTCGCTGATGACATAATAATATTTCATACAATAACGTCTATGTATTTTGTACTGCTGAAACTAACAACGTCTCCATTATACTTCTATGTAGATGGATGTTCAAACACGGCTCTGACATTTGTTTTAATTCGCCACCAACTAGATACTCGTGATGTAAGATTACTAGTGATGCTTAGCGCTTAGTTAATTGGTTTAATTGGATTTTAATAGTAAATGTCATAACTTTATTAGGAAACTTGTTCGCTACAAAAACTGCTGACACCCGGTTTAGTTATACTTATATAGTTTTTAAGTATCTGAAATTTACAGAATTAATTAACTGCCTCTGCAAATGTAACACTTATACCTAATGTACAGCACATACAATATTGTTCTAGACAAAAGTATACTTTATTATGTAACTATCCGTAGAATATCTACATAAGTATTTCGAGCTCGACAAAAGTGTCGTGTATTGATTTTAAGCACTTATTAAGTTGTCCTTCGTCGACTTATCAATACAACGATTTTTAGTTAGCTACTGAGTTATAATTTAAAAGAATCAGAGCATTTAGTAAGCTCATTTTAAAAACTTTCATAACTTACTTAAACATATTGTCACACACGTGTATCTTGTTGGGGCAAACACAATGATCTAGGCATATCTATTACACTTCACGTAACCTGTTTTTCCTGGTCCTAAAGTTTGATTACTTGTATTTAATTGATATTTAATATCAATGTCTAATATCAGAACCAGTTTTTAATGACAAACAAAGCATTGTTGATGACACGGCTGCTTTAGCAAACGTTTTTAATTGACGATTGCATTACAAGAAGTATAGGCGTCTGTTCTATTACAGCATTGTTTAATTATCTGGCATTTATTAATTCAATAATGCCATTTTTATAGCATAATTCGTTGTAATAAATTATATTATAAATAGCTGTAAATGGGTCCATGTCGCGCCGTAGCTCGTCACCTCGCATTCCATTTCGACGCTTGAATCTAAGTTTCTGTCCCACAATATACATAAATAAGGCAGTATAATATTATTTTTACGATTAACTTTATGTAACAGAACGTGTTTAGGTACCTATGCTATTTCGAGAGACCGTGTTCATTTAACTGACAAAATTTCCATAACATTAATGAAATATAAACTTTATACTTATAAAATTTTGTCACAAATTCGTGGATTGAACTAAACTTTAATGATCTCCTAACCGATTTTGGTTACCTGCTACATCAACAGAGTCGAACTACAAAAGATAGTGCATAACTTTGTGCCCACAGATGCAGTCTCTGTTTCTTCTCTTATAAACCCAGTAGGTAGTCAAATCTAAACTGTACATAGGTACTAAATATATGAAGGTGTCAGTAGTAAGCTTTCAATTCATTAACCTTCACATACATATTTTATATCTCGATTAAGTAAGTCGAGAGACGGAGATTACACCCGGAACTTTAATTTATACAGTTCTGGAATCAAAGGCACCAATAATGAGGCGATCGTTATATCTATTGACGCAGTTCAACTCATTAAAACTACAACAAATATTATTGTGCCTATTTTTGACTAAAAATATTAAAATATCACTTATGACGTGTACGTCCAATGCCAGTCTAATTTATAGGAATTTAAATGTATATTTCCAAATATATTCAGAGGCGTTTATGTGTGCGTCAAATACGTATGGAACTGACATCCGCTTGCACCTCTGACGTGCTAACTGCACGTCAATATCGTATAATATATAGGAAGTAGGAATCCAAAACAACATAAATGTTTATGCATATTTTTTATTTAATCACTATTAATATACGGCCGGGCGGTTATTGTAGCCTATGTTCAACTTAAATTCCAGAGACTAATAAAGTGTCATCAACGACCAGATTATAGGAAATTGATCTTTTCTGTGTTATATCTTAAGTTATTATAAGTTATATATCTAACAAACGTTTTTAAATATTAGAAAGTGTCTTATGTATATATGGTGGTGTGTTTGCTTCCTGCTACTAAATTTTCGTCCAAATTGGAGTTAACACTCGATTGAGGTTTGATGTAGAAATCGTTAACTGATTTTAATCTAAGATCTCTCGATTGATTTTAGTGTTTGACAGAAACACTTCCTTTACAAGTATGTATGTCAAAAACGATCTTAGTTCAAGGATTTTGGATTTAATTCCGGCCGTTAAGTTATAAGTGACCCGTAAAGGATCAAGGAATACTTTAAAGTGTACAATAAAATTAGTAAAACTTGGCCTGTAGCCTAACGTGGCAAGTGAAGTGGAATTTGACTAGAGGCACTGTTCTCGAATTGAAGTTCCTTCGTCTATTGTAATCTTCGAAACACTATTGTGTTTTATATTCGTATTATTCGTAGTCGACAATATATCTAGACAATATTAATGTACCTACAGCCGTGCTTGAATGTGTGTGTGATATTCGCGTCCGCCTAACGATCGTCGCCTTCACTCCGCTATCAGCAGTCATCAGTCAGATCATCTGATAAGATTACTCCATATTTGCATAATTTGCGAACGAAATCTGATACCGATGAGATCTGTCCCCACCACGCGTTGTTTATTACTAGAAACCTATTAGAAATCTCGACTGATCGTTCCTATCAGGGCCGTATCTTTTCAAGTTTTAGTTAATTAAAGATAAAATATTATTTAAAAACAAAGTAATAAAGCTGAGCCTTGTTTGCCACAGCTCTACTTATTAAGTTATTATATTATCAGTTGAGGTAATCATGCGCATAAAAATACACGCATTGTGTAGACAACCGTATTGATTTAGTATTTAGGATTCTGTGGCTTTGTGTGTAAAGTGTAACTGAAAATGTAAGGACCGCTTCCATATCTTTTATGTCGAATAGTCAACCCCTTGACAGATCTCTGCAAAGTCTGTAAGTCGGGACGGCGCAGCCGCGGGTACTCTTTCCTTTCTAATCGGGTCTCAGCTACGGCAACAATCTTATTTAAATATCAAAATATAAAATCTATAAAAATATTTATAAGACAGACGAATCACTTATTGAATATTCAGCTTCGCAGATGTCCGTCTCGTTGGTTAACACGAAAACAATATCAGGTTGTATAAAGTAGGTTGACCTTGGTAACTAACTCATGCGATATTTCCATATAGATATATTTTCAGACATCAAACTCGAATATAGTGGTTTATGATTGCATGAATATGTTATCAATGCAAATGTTAAGATCATCAGCATACGAGATAAGTGACCGGTTCAAGGTCTCCGGCATTTGTATCTCCTGCCGCGGGACTTGTGATATCTCTCCAAATTGTTTATTTCCATTATGTTGAACTGTATAGGCTACCTATATAGGTATTTTATATTTCGTTTCACCATCGACAAAATTAAAATTTTAAAAACATTTCTTGAGTGACCTAGGTAGCAGGTACACGTACAAACGTAGTAGTCGAGTTCAAATTGATAATATCGCATCCAAATTGCTACATATTTTAACATACTTAATATGATGTAACGTGTTTTATTGTCGCAGGTATCATAATGTTATATAGATGTACCTATTTCAACCATGACTTATTCCACAGTTCCGATTTTCAATTCCTATATTAATACTTTGCTAAGAATTGAAGCCGTTGCTCGACAGTCGCGTTCGTGACAATTCGACGAAACTCGTTATGGACTCTGTAATTAATGGTCCATTAGTAAAATAATATAGGTAATTGGTAGGCACTAGTGATTTTAAAATTAGGCACAGTCTAGTCACTGAGCTGTAAAAAATAGAAAAACAGTATTAAATCACTATGATATCGTCTGTCTAGAGCTGCTGGCCTTCAGAGAGCATGGTATTGTGTTTCACACTTGTCACACGTCTCCTGCCAGTAGGTGGCCACGGTCCCTCAATCTGTGGTCACCGGCTACAGATGTAGCCACCACCGCTCACCGGCTATATACTCGGCCAATTAATAAACTGGTTCTACTACTTTTTGTGCATTTTTCCATCGTCCGACCAATACGTTGGTATAATTAGACATTTGATTCGTGTTAAAAATCTGACCTTGTGTTCTACTAATAAAACAACATGCCTAAAAGGTTCTATGATTATACTTGTTTGTGGACATAGTGTAAGGTCAATGTCCTAAACAATGTGTAGTTGAGGGCATTTTCTTTTAAAAAGACCTACATACATGTTCGAACCAATCCCAATTAAGTATGGCAACAAATGTTTCGGTGTTCTTAATGCTAAATCATACAAGAACTGTATTATACTAAGCAGTTGCGTAGTATTTTGGATTTAGGATCATTATATTAATTACAATTTCCATGTAGAATATATAGTTCATAAAATACATTGTATTTTGTAGGTATTTACCTGATACCTGATTCAATTGTAAATGTTTATGATTGCAGGATGGGTTGGTGTACCAATCATCATTCTGGTCTGCTTGATGGCCGCATTCAGCGGCAAGAGGTTGGGTGACTGCTGGTCCATTCTGGAGGCCCGGGACCCAGAGATGAGGTCTCGGAAGAGGAACCCTTACGCGATCATCGTGGAACAGTCGCTCGGCAAGGCCTGGAGGTATTAACTTATTTTCTATTATAATAAGCACAAGGTTTAATTTTGTAGGAATCCACTCCGACCTTGAAGCAATTTAAAAGTTTAACTGAACCCGGCATGAGTGCAGTTATGATATTTTTTGTGATGTCATTATTTTCACATTCTATGTCGTATGATTTTAATAATTGCCCCAAAATATTTTAAAAATATCATGTCGTACTGGTAGTTTTCATCACAGCAAACAAACAAACCATTTTTAAAAGCGATCACCTCTTTGCGCCAGTTGTGGTTGTATTTCATCATCTTCGCCATTTGTCATTGTTTGTTAGTGTGGTGGTATCGATGGCCATGATCGTGACCCTGTTTGGCGCCTCCGTGGTGTACCTGCTGCTGGCTGCACAGATCATCGAGGCGGTGCTTCTCTCCCTGGTACCTTCCCTCACCATCTGTACCTGGTACCTCATCGTTGTCGGCGCCATGACACCGCTGCTCTTCTTCGGAACGCCTAAAGATTTCCAGTAAGTAGTAAAATTTGTTTTGAGAAAACTCCACAGTGTTTGACCATCAAAAAGTAAACGTGCCACGTTTTATGAAAATATTTGTATTTGTATCGATATGTCGCTAAAAATAATACAAACTCTTCCAGTTTGATGGGTCTCCTTGCCTTTGGATCCTCCGTGGTTGCCTGCATCTTGTACTTCATCGAGATGATGAGCGAGGCCTCACCATTCACCTACCGTTATGGCATCCACGGATTCATGGACTTCTTCCTGGCGATGGGAACCCTCATGTTCGCGTTCGGAGGAGCCTCCACCTTCCCCACCATACAGAACGACATGGCAGACAAAACCAAGTTCGGGAAGAGTTTGCAGTACGGCTTCCTCGGTAAGTTTTTGTTGGAAACTTACTTGTTTCTTATTTAATGGTCTACTTAGTCACCATTTCGATCAATTTAATTTTATTAGTTGCTTGTATACTGACGTGTATGTTATTGGTCCATCTCCAGCTGTGCTTATTCTGTACCTGCTGATCGCCATCGGAGGATACGCAGTGTTTGGAGAGCGAGTGCTGCCTAACGTGGCGCTCTCTATGGCCGCCACTCCCCTTACGCTGGCAGCTAACGTACTGATGGCCATCCATCTGCTGGCCGCCTTTATCATCATCATCAACCCCGTTTGCCAGGAGGTCGAGGAGCTGTACAATGTACCCAGAGGTTTGTTACGACTTTATTATAATTGAGAGTATTTATATTGAATGGAAGAATTCATTATTCATCTCTTGACTGTCGGTATACAAAACTCAATAGAAAATACATTGTGTCTGCGTCCTAGCACACGACGGGTTAAACACACTGATCTAATTGATTTACAGACTCGGTTGGATGGCGCATGGCAGTGCGCGTGTCTATAATGCTGGCCCTCCTCTTCATCGGTGAGAGTATCCCGCGGTTCTACACCATCTTGGCGCTGATCGGAGCCACCACCATCGCCCTGCTCACCTACATCCTGCCCTCGGTCTGCTACCTCCAGCTCGTCAACCAGCCCGCCGCTGAGGGACAGGCACCCATGTGAGTTTCTTTACCCAAGTCAGAACTTCGACTGCCCAAGAAAACTTATTTTTTTCCAATATTGATCTATGGAAAGACTCCCTCATTATGAACTTAATTAGTAGCATAATCTATTAACTTTTGTAATTAAATTAATAATTGAAACCGAAATATGTATATTTACTTCCACAACTAATAACGTGTACATTGTGATGGCAGCGAGACGCCCGGCTGGATGAAGATGGTGTGCTACGAGGTGATAGCGCTGGGCATCGTGGGCGGCGTGGCGGCATCCATCAGCGCCTTCGGAGCCATCTTCAGCACGTCCATGGCAGTGCCCTGCTACTTGTGATCGCGCACAATTCTCATACGTCAGCTCTACAATAATTATACGTCACTATGCATAGTTAGCAACATTTTTTTTATATCTAAAGAGAGTGAGCTGCCCTTAAATCTGTTAGTTGAAACATTCTGTTGACTCCAGGCCCCTTGTAACGCTATTGTATGTAGTGTAATTGTATTTACTCGGCGCTTGGTCAGCCAATCAAAGAGTCGTAGAATGCTGGTAGATGTAAGAAGTAACCATGTTAGACTAGTCTAGACTTACGTATCTGCTTACTTTTAAACACATCGTCTGTTAATTGAATATCTGAGAGAAGGGACTCCTTAGAACACAGCTTTGTAGTAACCACAACGCGATTTGTTGCTACACTGCAGCAGCAATGCGCATCTTTATGAAACCAAAATATCAACCTTTTATCATTCTTTTGTTGTAAAACAAAAAGCAAAGACAAAACAAACCACCAATCACGTGTACCACGGAGTTGTTCCATATACATGTATAATAGTGAGAAACTTAAGATTTCTCAATCAAACTTATTTGTAATTAGTTTAACTGTTTAAAACATGTTCGTGGTGGTGCCTTCTCTCGAAGTAAATATAAGTAATATTTTGTTACTTTTTCTTATGTTTTTAATTTTTAGATAAATCATAGACATATTAAGACAATTTTTTAAACAAACATTTTGCACAATTCGCTCATGACTTTGTTTCTTAGTGAATTATCACCAGGGGTGCGCCCGTGCACTGCACTTTCGTACCGATACGCATTTACTGCCATTGCACAAACACGGAGTGTAGGTACCACCCACACTATTACAACAACACACACAAACATTACAATTATCTCTTACTAATTAAGTTTATTAACTTACTCTCTGTTATCTGAAACCGTTTCGCTCCGTTACGCTTTAGAATGCAAAAAATCATAGTTCAATAAACGGTTTAAATTAAGTATAATCTTTTGTGTTATTTTATATTTAAGTGAGTTCCTCTCTCACCCATGTGACAATTTGTTTCTTGGCCACCTTATTTGATGTTGACTAGGTAATGAATTGGGGCGAACGTGTCCACGTGTGACATGGACATGGTCCCGGGTCACCCACGCACCAAACATTTAGATTTGGCGTGCGATGTCTTTTCTGACTTCCTTCCTTCCTTCTCTGGGTTCAATCCTTAGGTACAGTTTCCGTAATTGCCACACAAGTCTCCAGCTGTGCGAAGGTAACTCTGGCTTTGGCAATCCGTAAAGCTATATCTTCTTTAGTCCTACTCGTTCTAGTCTCTGCGACGACGTACCTGAGATAATATTAAGTAAACTAGAGGATGATCGATACATTTTAAAATTAAGTAGGCAAAACAAGTATCGACGCTGTTATGGCTGAGTTCAGGTCATTCATCATTGTCAGTCTTGTATGAAATCTAAAAAACAACAATGTTTTTTTTTATTGTCATAAATATTTCTATAACCAAATGGGTTACTTAGGTACTTATAAATTAAATGATTAAGCGCCTACTGCCTCGGTAGTCGTGAGAGCACAAGTTAAGCTCCTGCCAAGCTGGAGCTTCGTGTTGGATTTCCGGATCGAGCAAAGTGTTCAAGAGTCAGGAACAGCCTTGCCTTCTCGTTATGATGGACACACATCAATACAATTATTGGCAAAAAGAATACTATTATGGTCATGTGTACCTAATTGTGTAAGGTTGAAAGTGCAAGTCTTAGACCTACTCATTTTAAATTAAAAGCCGTGACATTACATAATATTTTACTGACAAATACATTGCAAGATTACATGACACTACTTACATATGTTGTAGGTACGAGATACACACGCCGCGACCCCCAGCAGGGTGTCGTCATACTGATAGCGCTTATCTCCCGAGGACGACACATTGTCAAAGACATCTGTGTCACTTGACTCCGAGGTGTAATATAGGTTCATAATAACACATTTAGTGTCGCTTCTGAGATACTGGACATGATAGTCTAGACCACAGCGACCACTTACACCACTTACTTATTGGCGATTCAATATAATAATATTTTTAGGTACAACCAGGAATTAGTATTTACGATGGCGTACAATACTGACGGGAGGTTCATCACCCTAAAATGTTTTTCAACGTTACACCTTCTACTCTCCAAAGGGGTTACCTGAGATACCTGGGCATACTAAATCTTAAACCCGACTTATTTTTGGACACCCTGCGTGTCTCACATCAAGCGAGGCCAACGCAGAAGTACTAGGATTTTATTTTTTACGTTTTTTTTGCAAATATCGATTTTTTTTTATTTATACTTTATAGGTCGACGTTTGACCACCATCTCGCCTGATGGTAAGTGATAATGTGGCCGAAGATGAAGCACGCCTACCTATGAGCAACCTGTTCACTCGGGACTTGAAAACACCCAAGTCATATTTGACGGGAAACACAGCCTCTGGCAAGGAATTCCATTCCTTAGCGGTTCGCATGAGGAAGCTTGACGCGAAACGCTTCGTACGAATGGGTGGAATGTCCACCATATAAGGGTGGCGCCCCGCCGTTCGTCTGGTGGTGCGGTGGTGAAATGGACTAGGGGGAATAAGTTTGTGAAATTCCCACGCACACTCACCGAAATGTATCCGATAGAAGACCGAAAGGCTTGCGACTTTGTGCCTGTGTTCGAGGCTTTGTAGCCGAGCTTCCACAAGCAAATCGTCATTGATGAGCTTCTTGGCACGCCTCTCGATGGATTCGAGGGCTTCTAACTGGTATTTCGCCGAGCCATCCCAAAGATGGGAACAATACTCCATACACGACCGAACTTCAGAGTTACGCCGCGAAGCTCAAGACGGTCACCCATCGGAACGGACACACCTCGGAAAGTAGACACGCCTGGGTTTTGTTGGCATAGAACCTGACCAGATTGGCGTCACCTCAATCGGAGACCGCCTGCAAGGACAGGTTCAGACGATTTACTACAGATTCTCTCAGCGACTGGATTTGAGTTGCACTAGTTTGCGCATCTTACATATGACTCTCAACAACGGTGCTGTCATAGATACCAACAAAAAAAGTGTTTCTGAGAGTACTGACCCCTGAGGAACCCCGGCATTAATACCAAGTGGATTGGATGAGCAGCCATCAATGACCACTCGGATCGATCGATCCCTCAGGAAGTCTGTTATCCATCTGCACAAACCAGTAGGGAGTCCATATGCGGGAAGCTTGCCAACAAGACTATCGTGCCAGACCCTGTCGAAGGCCTTCGAGACATCGAGCGATACGGCTAACGCTTCCCCTTGTTTCTCGATGGCCTCGCTCCAGATGTGGGTGGCATATGCAAGAAGGTCCCCAGTAGATCGGTTTCGGCGAAATCCGTATTGCTGATCACTAAGGAGATCGTTACCTTTTTAGGCACAGGTTGCACGTTGGCCAGCTTCCATGCTTTCGGCACTTGACCAGTCTCCAAAGATAGGCGAAATAGACGTGTCAAGATTGGAGCTAACTCAGGTGCACAAGCACAAGTTTTCAGTACTACGGCCGGGATTCCATCGGGACCACTGACTTTGTTTACGTCCAGGTTGCGCAACGTTCTGCAGACCTCCTTCTGTCGAATCCGACATGTTAGTCTCGCATACTTGGTGTAAAGAAGGTGGTGAAGCGCCACCAGCATCAAGACGCGAAGACTCTGCAAAAAGAGAGGCGAATAAGTTCGCTTTCTCTATTGCGGTGTGAGCCAGCGTCCCATCAGACCGCAGTAGCGGTGAGAGTGAGGGGCGACAGAAGTTTGATTCCACCGACTTGGCCAGGGACCAAAAAGCTAAGGCTTTTTAACCAACGGGTAGTAAGCTACCCGTTGGGTAAGAAGCAAGTTTGGCCCCTGTTCGGCAGATGTGTTTGAACCGAGCTTCGCGCAGTGGCTTTTTGTGACTTGGCGGCCCGGTTGAAAGCTCTCTTCCTTTGAAGTATATCATCAGTCCTATGGGACCTGGCGTCCGCCCATGCCATATATGCAGCATGCTTTAATGCCTCCGTTTGTCTGCAGTTGGCATCAAACCATGGGCGAAAGCCACCGACGGATGTCGCGTCCGAGAAAGGAACGTAATATTCCATGCCCTGACGCAACACCCACGTTACGGCATCTGCACAAGCTGACGGATCATCGGAAGAGAAGCAAACAGGCCACCATGGATAGGATGCAAAAAAGGATCGCATTCCATCCCAATTTGCTGACTTGTATCGCCACATCCGTCGTGGTTCCCTAGGGCTAGAATCAGGTGGGGAGTGTGTCAGACACAGATTTCACCAGACAGTGATCAGAGCTACCTAAAGGTGATGAGACTGATACCGAGTAATGGTCTGGATTAGTTGTCAGCAGAAGGTAAAGGCAGTTGGCTGTATGCGTATCCACAGCGGACACCCTTGTGGCTTCCTGGCTGGGTAAGGTTAAACGTCAACGCAAGCTTTCGCAGTTCCCTCCCAGCATGCAGCAGCAGGTGCACTGGTATGGAAGAATCCACTCCTGGTGATGGGCATTGAAGTCCATCAGTATCACCAGTTGGGCAGAAGGGTACCGAAGCTCAGCCGCATCCGCCGCCTCACTAAGATGTCGCACCAACCTGGTCGTCTCCAAGACTCCGCTGTGCGACCGGTAGACACAGGCATAAATAATCTTTTCCAGGCCTATGTCCACTAGTATCCAAACTATAGAGAAGTTGGGGTCCTCAAAATTTCGGAGACGCCGGTGACAGACGCTATCGCGAACGTATAAGTATACACCAGCGCGTGGAACGAATTTATGTTCCAGGGTAGTCTAAATACGATACGTCGGACGGACATCTGATCTGGGTCTCCGAAAGAAACAGGAGTGTTGGGTTCTCAGTCTCAAGATGGTGGTGGACTGCGTTGAGATTGGAGTGCAGACCTCTAATGTTCGAGAAGTGCACTTTGAGGGAGAGGAAGTGCAGCCGCTGTGAGAACTTTTCCGTTTATTTGTCGACATTTGGGAGTGAAGAAAGGTTGCTGGGGGGATGGTAGTAAAATGGACTTCTACACAGACAACCCACAGACGCGTACCGCAGTTAGCCCCATCATTAGGACGCCAGCCCGGAGACCGCCGGGACGCCCGAGCCCCCCCACGGGTATCCATTGGGCCCTCTCCTCCGGTCACCAACCGGCACGATGGCGTACCCGTGGGATTTTTCGACAGATGGCAGGGCAGCCTTTCACGTATGGCTAGCACATTACTTGGGCCCCCAACTATCCGTGGTCGGCCAGCGGTGAACCGTGCCTCGGATCCAGCTACCCTCCGTGACTGGCCACCCGATGCCGCTACACCAGCGCGCGTCAGAACGGTTAGTCTGCATTGGAACACCCACTTCGACCCATCCCCTCAATCGGCGTCACCGAGCATTGTGGCGGAACACGGCTAGGCCGCTTGGCGACTCGTTTTTGCGCGGTGGGTGGTTATAAGGCTGTCGGCTGAAGCCTAGGCACGTGTAGGTCGAGCGTACGGCGCGTCGCGTTCCGCGCGCGCCTCAATGAGCCATCAGACCACCACAGATGGGGCCCAATACGGCCGATGCCGATTCGGAGTCGCGGAGAACCTAACGGGTAACCGGGGCTCCGGCTCGACGTCCAGGAGAAGGAACGGGGTGGTTTTTAGTCAGTAAGAGTCTGACACTCCCTCCCGCCTCGCCCAGGCGGGAGCAGTTATTCGATGATTTTCCCCCCTTAAAAACGTGCAGGGATGATTTTAATATATGGGTACTCTCCTACGGACGGGGGTGACTCAGCTTTCATAATTTGTTTATGTGTGTTGGGTAAACTAATAAGTATCCTTCCTTAAACCGTAGCGCGCGATGTCACCATTGAACGAAAAGTTATTGTGTAGGTACGTTACCAGAGAATATTTTGCAGAGAACATTTTGTTTAATGTTGATTGCTGATTTAGTAAGAGCATCATGCCAAACGTTGCAGCTACTTCGTTTTACCAGATTGTAATGATTCCTATGCGTCCAAAACCCAGTCCATGTACTCGGTACTTCATTGCTACGAAATTAGCAATTCCACTAATTCGTGTTTGTGTGGGAATATATATTTATCTGCGCTTAAGTGGAACTACTGTTTATATGTACGAAGTAATGTGAAGTGATAACACTAGTGCTCTGCGCACGCGCCGGTCCACACTGCTGCACGACGCGCCGACCTGCGCGTACGACACTACGACACTTCTCCTCCACGACTTAGGTAAGCTGTATTCCGAAATAATTACAGAATATTTTAGAATTTATACATATTTTGTAGAAGCTTAAAAATATTTTTAGGGTTTTGTAAGAATATAAAATATTTAATAATAAATTTGCCATGTGAGCCCATGTGGCTGCGAATGATAGACAACTTTTCATGTATTATTACTTATGGATCATATATACAATTCTATATGCTCCAATTTATTTACCTCTATAAGTGTTAATATGCTTGTGATAATACGGTACGATTTTTTAATGATAGTAAAGAACCAGTACGGGATGAAGGCTCCATCCCTAGTCGATTACCCCCATCATGTGAGCAATCAACCTGAAGATTTGATAGATAACTTGATAGTTAGTTTTTTCAGAAATTATCTGAAATCAACTAATTCAGCTCTCTTTGCATGTATCTTCATTATATTTATTCAACGGCAGTTCCGATGGAGATGATGAAATATACTAACACCATGATATAAAAAAGGTCGGTACTACGAGTTCTCTGTGTAAAACCTGCTGGTGCTCCAAGCTGCGAGGCTACGAGGCTGCTGATGTTGATAAACAGTTGTTAGTTACAGTGAACCGGCAGTAATGGTGGTGTGCAGCGTGTTCCGCGTGACGTCACGGCTGGCCCGCAGCAGTCTCGGCGCGCAGTGCTGCGCCCGCGCACTATACAGCACGGAACACAAAGGTAAAACACCTTCAAAGAATTGTCTCCATGTAGCGCGCTGTTAACTATAGCATTGCTTACATCTGATTACACCCTGAATCGGTTCACGCAAAGCAGAAATGATAACTACAAACTAATGACTTACAAACACATCACTATAATGTTGCTTAATGATATTGACCTTAACTTTGCCTTATTTAGGCCAAGACCCAGTAAACATTAGTCGTCATTACAGGACACTTGAAATATGTTTCCAATCGAACGTTGCCTTTTCAGTAGAGGTGCTTCGTAGAGTAAGTTAAAGTCCGAGTTATCAACAAGCCGGGTGATGTCCGAGGGATTCAAGAGCACGACCTCATTTTGTTAGTGATTGTTCACATTGAAAAAGTTTCAATAAATAGTTAATACGTATCAGTTATCAGTAATGGTCAAGAACATTACGCAACGGTCGCCTGGTCGCCTGCCACTATCGCACCCTACCGAGTCTCTTGCAAGTGTCGCGGCTCGTTGCGAAACTCTCTCAATACTGCTCTGTTATGTTACAAACAACATCACGCTGACGTCACGTATCTAGCTGATAGTTCAATGTAATAGTTGTAGCAACTAATCATGATCACTTATTTTTGTTTTACATGAAGTACCTAATGTACTGATAAAAGCTCCAGCGCCCTGGCGAATGTATTCCATACTTGTTACTTGTAAAGCGAATGTTTGATGTTTTAAGGAGATAAGTGAAAGCTGCGCTAATTGTATATTGTAGAACTAGTAGAATATTTAGTCAGGAACGTCAGTCACCTGGCTGCAAACTGATATTGACAAACATAAAGTACCTATAATCAAATCCTCGAGAAAAACAATTTCATTATGATTTCGAAAAATGAGATAAATGTGAACTTGCTTAAATTGCCTAGACCCCGTTTGATATTTAGCTAAGAAGTTGTCACCCGCTGCTGGCAGGAATACAACCAAGTAACGACAAGTACTGCCCTCAGAAGTACAGCAAGAAGAGTATAATTCTAATGCCCGGTTTCACCTACCTCTACTAAATTTTAATGAACCCCAAGCGAAAATAGGTGACGTTTAACGACGGTTTAGCTTTCACCAACCTACAAGTGACCCCTAATAGAATGAATAGTGCAAGTAAGGGGTTCGTTTAGATGCTACGTCACGCTCAGTAACTTTTAGTCAAGAGGTGGTTTAGAGGTGGTTGGTGGAACCGGCCATAATGACTCTTCTCATTAGAAAAATATACGACAAATACGTAGACCAGATGAGGAGAGTCGTGCTTGAATCAATAGGGCCTACCGTATTTTTTCTCGCGAAATAGCGCTTGTGTGGTCCTCTGGTTCATCGTCCAATAGGGAATTAGCTAGTGTCATACTATTGGACGTTTAATATTTGACATCTGCTGTTATTGGACAAAATACCCCATCCTACGTTAGCGACATCTCACTAGATGGCGAAACAATGTTAGGACCCATTGAGACCTGTCCCAAAGTTAGATTCTAGTAGTATTAGCTTGTTATTATAGAAAACGATAAGCAGCATGTCCATGTCGACCATACTTATACTTATTCATTACCAAGTTTAAAGAACCCCGGGCCTCTAGCCCGTTGAATAATACCGAGATTCTAAATTCATGGCAGTCTGCGCAACGTACAGTTTATTTGTAAGCTCATACCCCTGGTACATAAATAGTGGGACTCATAAACAGTGAAAACTGGGTGTTACATTGTACAGTGAGTGGTATTATCGGGGATGAAAGGAGTGATGTTATGTTATGTTATGCTTATACCATACATTTTGTACTGTACATTTAACATCTTATTGTTTTGATTTCAGCTCGTTTTTACACAAAGAAACACGAGTGGGTGTCGGTGAGCGACAACATTGGCACTGTCGGCATCTCCAGCTACGCACAGGTTCGTACCACACTCAAAATATTTATTAAAATACACTCACATGCAACACAAAATGAAAATGTCTGTAGGGCCCATAACGAAGTGATTTCCTCGCGTCTAAGTGTAGATTTCTATGAGAAGAAGGACGAGCAAGATTCGAGGTTGAATCTGTATTGGAGGAAGTCTTCAATCTGATTCCTATTTTTAAAGTTTTCTATTACATATCATCCATCTGTTAAGGTGTATAGGCGAAGACATTACTAATTACGTCATCAGATATCTAGCAGACTGTTACTTCTCGATAAGTATTGATGAAATTATCCCAAAACAATTCTGAAAAAATTAAAGCCTTAAAAGATAGAAGGTGCTTTAAATCCAGTCATAATAATATGGCTGTTACTCACATTTAACCACAATATTAGTTAGCATTTTTAAAAGGTTTATTTTAATTATGAAACGTTTTATTTAATTCGCTCCGTTTTTTTTTGACTCTTTAGTAATTGCATTTTTATTCCCTTCCTGACGTTAGATCGAACTAATATTCGGTGCACACCCTTAATCTAGATGACCATTCAACAGCTACCTCCACTATGAATATCAAACGTAACATTTAACACAAAATCTTCTGACTATACTTACTTAATTGTTATTGAAAAATAACACAAATAGGTCATTCTTTACCATCGGTGTTCGAGAAAACAAACAGAGAAAAGAAAACGCTTTTGAAACAACTTCTCATTCTAGTTTCTTGTTTGTTGTTAATAATAATTAATTAAAATAATTACCTACAGGTTAACCAAAAATAGCAGGTTAATCACGTGAGTATACTGAGAAAAGCTCTACTAGTTCCGAACCACAGAGGGGATGTTTCTCAAGATCAGCGTGCGCGGTCGCGGCTTTGTCGCGCAACCCATTCCGGTGCTCATGAGGAAGAACCCCTCTGAGGTTCGAAACTAGTAGAGTTTTTCTCAGTATATTCACGTGAGTAACCCGCGATATTTAGTTAATTTAGTATGTCTCACGATAGTGTTATAAAAACAATTACCTACAGTTTTATTTTTCTTGGAAATATTACATTTTCTTTATAACTCAATGTCGAAGCTAACTTGCGTCATTTGAGTCTATCGTTTGGTGAATAGAAGCACCTATTTAGATAAGTTTTGTAACAGTTAGTGAACCATGTCACATACTGCTCTGTACCGGATAAATCTGTGTATTAGAGGTCAACTGAAATGATGACAGCTGCGCAAGATTCGCAAAGCGCGAGCATTGACGCCGGCAGCTGTGTCTGTACGTCCACAGCACAATGTCAGCAGATTAGGTACTCATTACCCGTTATCACCAGTAGCTGTTAACTTTGTTTCTCGTCTCTCATTACTCTATCGAGCGAGTAATAGTAATAAAACAACAAACATGAACATTATTATCTAGTTATTACTAAAACTCAGTCGTTAGTTTTCAGATTACATGTGTGTTATTGTTAAATAGGGCTTTACGATTTACTCAGCTTGCATTTTAGAACTTTGGTTTATTTACTAGACTAGTTTTTTTATGGGATAATAGGATAAACCAGCAGGCGTATCACTTGATGGTTTCGCAAGCAATCGGCGTCACACATGGACACTTGGAACACCAGAGGCATTACAAGTGCATTATCGGCCTTTTGGGATTCAGATATAGAGAAAGGGAGGAAGGGTAATTGGGCTTCCGGTAACCTCACTCACGCGACGAAACACAACTCAAACTTAAACTCAAATGCATTTATTTCAATTAAACCATAATTTGGTACGTTCGAAACGTCAACAAATATGAAATAAATAATAGTCTGTCAGTCTGTCCGTCAGTAAAGCTAGGCGCTCGTTCCAAAATGTCGATTCGAGTGGAGAAGAACGAGCAAGAAACTCCATTCGTTACTCTTATAAAAAAAAGTCTGTTTTACATTGCTCTGATACATATTCCAATATTGTACACACATGTGAGAATAATGTAAAGACATACGTGACGCAACATACAAATAACAGAACATACTAAAATAAAAAAAAACAAAACCAAGAAAAAAAAATATCTTAAGTCTGACATGGTCCTCACATATGTATACTGACAATCCATATAAAATAGTGCTTCTATACAAGAAAAAAAAGTTATCTTTTAAAATAAAACTGAGCTTACTTACATGTATGTATATAGGTAAAATGTTCAATCCTGTGTAGGATGGCGTTACAGTGAATTTTATACTAGTCTGTCTTTAATTTGTTTATTACTTACTTTCAATTTAATAATGGTAAACTCAGTGAGCAGGTAATATTACTGAGTTGACCTGTAAACTTGCAAATACTAGACCAAAGACAGAGTTTCGAATAATGAAACTGAAATCTGTTGATGTCACGCTTACCGAACAATACCATCGCATCGTTACCAATATTGTAGCTAAATACTGACTCATGACTGATACAGTACTATTAATCTACACCAGTATCTACCAACGTTCAGTAGTACTATCTGATGATATTTAACTATTTTGACATAAGCTCCATACTTTTGTTTTATTACTTCATTTTCCACAAATAAGTTTCAAGGGAGTGACCGTTGATGGGCAGTCCCGCCGCATCCAGGTATACCTACATGATTATCTAAAATAATGGTTTAAACGGCATGTACTTCGTAAATTCGCAGGACGCGTTGGGTGAGGTGGTATACGTGCAGCTGCCGGAGGTGGGTAAGCAGATCGCGGCCGGCGACGAGTGCGGCGCCCTCGAGAGTGTCAAGGCAGCTAGCGAAGTCTACAGCCCAGTCTCTGGCACCGTCAGTATCACTGTCATTATACATGGTTTTACTAAATTCTTACTTGAGGCTTTGCAACAGCGGAAAACTGTCTCAGAAATATTTGCCTTGCCTACTGACATCAGTATACCGACCCGAAATCCGGTTTTTCCGCTTTTCACTCTTCTGATTGCAAGCAAGTTTCAGTCACGGTATAAGATTGTTTAAGTTGTTATTGAGTGAGTCAAGAGTGACTTGCTTTTCAAAAATCGTTGATGATGATATAAAAATCGCCGAAGGAATCGGTTTGCTTAGGGAGAGTGCAAGAGTGGGCATTCTTTCTTGAGTCTGGTTTCAGAAACTAACTACCGATGAATATTTAATAAAAATCTGTATGAGAGCATCTATTAGTTGCGCATATGTGACATACATTTGAACACATACTCAATATTAATTCATTGAGTACGTAACAAAGCAATCAATTTAACAAAAACGTCCAATTTTTTTTATTTTCGGGATCCAAAAAACATTACGTGTCCCTGAGACGCGCCGGACTTCAATGTTTCGATGTTCTATTGATTGGGTATAGTATTTGCTAGGATTCGGAAACTGCAACGAGCTTGTATCATAAACATATTGTAGCTGACTCGTGCCATCATTAAAGTAGACTCCATGTAAACTTCCAGATAACAGAAACGAACAAAGAAGTGGAATCTAAACCAGCGCTCATCAACAAATCTTGCTACGAGGAAGGCTGGCTGTTCCGCGTGAAGCTGGCGAGCCCTGAGGAGCTGCAGCAGCTGATGGACCAGGCCGCCTACGACAAGTACCTGGAGGAGCACTGACCAGCCACCCAGCTTAGATATAGGACCGTATTTATACTGTTGTTGTATTTCCTTGCATTCCTCTACTCACACTAGCTGTAAGTTGTGTTCACATAAACAAATCATTCAACCCTAGCTCTGGACGTGGCTACTCCTGCCACGAACTGTTCTCCATGTCATTGGACCGTACTTCTCAATAATTTGAACTGACGCCGTGAACTTCCCACAGAGGCTCTCTATATTCATAGTGTGTTATGTAAAACTAGGTATCTTATGCATGTAATGTGTTGTGATAATTAAAGGTTTCTTTTTGCTTTTATTGTTTATTTACCTTCCACCTACAATGGTAAATGCAAAATGATTCGGTAATTCGTATTGTCCAGGGTCGAGGATTATCTATGAAGAATCTAGACAATGATTTCAAATGACCTTAGCAATTAAAATAAAAACTGTAATAGATTACAAATCAATCAAGTATAATATAAGTTCTGTACATGATTAATAACGTACTGTTATAACCAATTTCAGTTCCAGTAAAATAAAAAGCAACAAACTTGTAAGTAACATTGTAAATAAATTAAAAATACAAGCAATGCAAAATAATCCTAAATAAAAGTGTGAGAAGTGTTCACTTAAGCGCGGAGGCGCCGGATATGATTTCAATAAGCTCCCTGGTGATGACAGCCTGCCGCGTCCTGTTGAACAGCAGCGTCAGCTTCCTGATCATCTCATCAGCATTCTTAGTGGCGTTGTCCATGGCGGACATGCGCGAGGATTGCTCGGAGGCGGCGCCCTCTTTCAGCGCGTAGTACAGCAGCGCAGCCAGCGTCCACTCCGCGTAGCTTTCCAACGCCTCAGCATCCACGTCATCGAATGCCAGCATGTTCGGCGCAGTCTGTCGAAGAATTACTCATACATGTCATAATTCAAGTATTTACGCTATATCCAGTGACTATCACCTCTCCAAACTTCCACTCACATCGTCATTTCTAGATGTTACTGTTATAGTCTCACTCGGTGTGACAATGATGTGGAATTACTAGAATACTCAATCTTCTCTTCACAGATTTTGACAGAAAATGACAAACCCGTTGATTGTTCTATTAAGACAGCTTAATATTATTTTGGATTACATCAAACATTTTTGTAATTTTATAGGTTTACTGCCTTGACTTATTTAAAAACAACCAGTTTGGGTCACACACGCAGTATAGATTGTATTACTGCTGATTGCTGACTTACCTCAATCTTCTCCTTGGTGAATACGGGCACGACGGTGAGCTGGTACTTGACAGGGGAGATGTACTTGTTGTAGTATATCTCGCCGATGTCGTAGTAGAACCCAGCCTGCGTTATCACGGCTGCTATCAGAGACGCGTCCGCGAACCCTGGTGACAGCCGACCCACCTGCGTGTGTGGCATGGACATTTATTCCACTATCTTAAGTATACACAATGTAGGTTACAATTGAAGTATAACCTATTGTTTACTCAGGATAAATGAAATGATGACAGGCCACCGTACCTAACATTAAACACGAGTATGCGTATACGTATTTATCTCTTAAATCAAAGAGCTGAATTTCAACTACAAGATGTCTACGACGGAACATAGGCCTCCTCCATGGTCAGAAATATTCTACATCTAGTAGGTTCCTGTACTACTCTGTCAAGAAAGTACCGGGAAAAGATAAATAATACACAAAATGTCTGTTATTCATAATTTATTTTATCACCTTCAAAGTAATAATCCATTCATCAAAACATTTTTTAGACGCTGCTTCCGGAATTGAGTTCAGTTCTCGCCGTCAATTCTCCTTTATGTCTTCTATCGGTTGAAAACGGGTGCCACTAAGTGGTAATTCGAGTTTAGGTAAAATAAACAAGTCAACAGGAGCCATATCTGGTGAATATGGTGATTGCTGGATGGTATTTGTTGAGTGTTTGGTCAAAAATTCGTTCAATGATAGCCTTGTGCTAAGGCGCATTGTCGTGGTGCAAAATCCAAGAATTTTCGTAAAACAAATCTGGCCTTTGCTCTCTTAAACGCCGCATAACGCTCAAATAATATTCATTATTTACCGTTAAACCTTCCGATAAGAAATCAGAGTGCACAACACCGCGATAGTCAAAGAAAACAGTCAACATGACTTTGACTTTTGATGTTAGGTCCGAACTGACTTGTTCTAGCATGTCTTCAGCGACTTTAATGCGATTGAGTTTTTGGAGAAAATTCAGATCTTTTGAGACTAGCCGAGCAGCAACATGTTTCATACCCAAATGATTAGTTAAAATGGTATGGATTGACTCGTGAGGTACAAAAAGTTCAGCGGCTATCTCTCTCAGAGTTGAATGGGGATTTTCAGTCACTATTTCCTTCACTTTTGCGATGTTAACTTCAGGTGCTTCAGGACGTTGACGGCCTACCAGAGCGAGGCAAATCTTCCATCACATCTCGACCGCTTTTGAACGCTTTGAACCACACATAAGCACGAGTTTTTGATAAAATCGATTCACCGTAGCCTTCTGTAACATTTTCAGTGACTCCGAACACGAAATTCCATTGGCGATGCAAAACTTAAGACAAACTCTTTGTTCGATATTTTCGTCCATTATGAAATTCGCAATACACACTATATATGATATTACTAAAACCAGCACTGTATTTAATCTAAATAACAGATGCAACTCAAACTCCGCGCCAAAATGGAAAACAGTTGTGCCAATCTAACAACTACAAATAAAGAAAAATTTGAATTGGAAACATAAACAAATCATCCATTCCCGATACTTTTTTGATTGAATGTATGTCCCCGACTAAAATGTGCAAATGTATAATTAGTTTTAGGCATGTCTATCTGTTTGCATCTGAATTCTGTGTTATGAAAAAGACGGGTGTTAAAAGAACTGGATGTGTTACGAAAAAGGAAATAAGAAATGAGTGGGGAACCTGAAAGTTTCGTTGGTTACGTGGAAAAGTAGAAAGACAATCGTGTCTGTCGGAATGGAAATCTTCTTGGAATCACATCTCGTGAGGATATGTCAATCAAGTGACGGAATCAGTATTGAATTTTCTAATGGATGGAATAGAAGAGAGTTATCAAGATAGATTGTGTGAGGAACGAAATAACACAGTAGAAGAAATCAAATGACTGTTCTTGATAGAATGATCTTCGATTAGAGAGAGTAGAAGAAGATCCATTTGAGGATTAACATTTGCACAAAATTGTTTGCCATAGCATGAAAAATAAATCAGTTTGTGAGATCAGATGAGGACGAAATGCTTAGAAGTAATTTTAGGAGGGTGGCTAGGAGGTGTTGATGAGGAGTACGCACATCTCTGACGCTAACGAGCATGCTCTGCGAATAGATTCGGCGCAGGATGGCGCGGGACTTGTCTCCCACGCAAACCAGCTTGTGGAACTGTTGGTCAGCCGCGCGGTCCGTGAACTCTCGCTTGATGCGCCGAGCCACGCCGGTGTGCACGCCGCCGCATAGACCTGTTACAACGAACATAGCAACATACTCAGTTTTGCAGTGGAACGTGAACGTACACGTAGTGGAACAGGCGCTTTTATTCAGTTAAGCTTTTAGTTATTTGACACGGATCTACATAGACGTACGAACTATCGAGCAAAGCAAATTTAATACGCACTACACGAAAAATGGCAGGCGCCCATTTTACATGCAAATGGGAGCTAATTCCAAAACAATCCTTTTATTTCATAAACTTACCACTGTTTGGATTTGAGAGACAAACGTATTTCCGCCTTACTTGTTTTGTCAACAGTCTAGCAGACATCAGCCTGGCAGCACCTACGTTGACTTGGCAGCCACTGACCATTGTGCTACAATGTGCAAGAGGTAACCGCATCGGCTATGACATTTGCTCAAAAGCTTCCTCAGAATGTACGAATATACCTCTAGAAGAGATCATGTGGAGGCGGCGTGAGGCTGTGCGCGCCCGCCTGCACGTGCGCGCATGCGCGGCCTGCACTCTTTATCACTCGCAGCGCGCAGGGGCCAATGATAAAGAGATAGATCACCTTTTCATATTAAAAACATATCTTCTTCCAATAAGACATACGGTGAGTTATTTATAAAAGTTAGGTTACAGTGTCATGGTCTTTCCTTTAGATCTACTGGAAAACACTACCTCGTCGGGACAATATAATTTTGTTTTAAAGACGTTGCCTCACACTAGGATTTTCTGCTGTGCCGTGGCGTGGGTGCATTTGTACACATACAAGTTCATATACACATGACATCCAGACCCGAAATTACACCAATTTATTTATTACGCAAAGAGTTGCTCCGTGCAGGCTGAAGGAATCGTACCCTTAACACATTGCGCGGCAGCTAGTTGCCCAGCCACAGCACCCACCGCGCAGTCATGATGAAATGGCATGCTTCTCGCTGGTACTTTCGAAACGTATGTTATTGGTCCCGTTGTCTACAATCATGATGCATACAAATGTTTCCTCTTAAGTTTCTTAGAACGAGAGGTACATGTACCGCGGTCAGTGTAACGTCAACAGAAATAAAAACCCAGAACGTATCCGTATATTACCTACAAAACCTTATTAGCGTCGAAGTAGATATAGCATATCCATACGAATGTACGTAAGTGTACATAACTACGTATTTATTTACTAAGAAATCATTATTGTCTGCTGCTTGTAATTGCGTTCTAATTCTAATTCTTGTGTAACGTATTATTTTAATGACAGTCCATTGATGAAAACTTGATCTTTATTGCAGCAGCGGACCACTCGTCAGATAGTAAACAGAATTACATTTTATTGACAACTATTTAAAACTCGCTCCGGTTTCCGGTAATTATTGAGGCTCGCTGGCTACCACACCCGGTGTGGTGGAATTATTAAACCATGTAAGAAATGTACACACCGGTACACAGTTTTGGGATAATGTATAATTATTAGTACATTCTATCAGATAACATTCAGATATTTTCAGTTAGATATGGAATTCTATCTAATCAGGACATACATTTTTTGTATAAGACAAACGAGCAGAAAGCTCAGTCTGCACGTTTGATGAATGTGAGCACCTATTCCAATTGGAGCTATTCCGGATTTGCAAAATTTTAAAAAGAGTAGTTACTGTAAAATTATACACAGCTAAATAAAGCTACTAAAGAGTAAAACAAAATACAAATCGTTCATTAAGAAGTTGCTGTCTGTCTGTCTGACCGTAACTGAATCAGAAAAATAAAAAGGTACAAAAAGTTTTATTCTGAGGTGTGGGCCTTATAATATTAATTAAATTCATTTCTTAATTTGTTGGTATTAGTAATTGGATGGTTGGTATAATTATATTACAGTAGGTACAAGTAGCGTGAAAGTATTTGGGTATGGCCGGCGGTCGATGCGCCGGCGCGGGCGCCGTGATCCACCGATAACCTCGTAGCTGCCGAACTGTGCGTATCTGGCACCGCCTGCGCCTGCGCCGCGAGCCTCGCGTCCACGCTTATCTCTCTGTTCGTTTTTCGTACGCTCCAGTTTCATTGGTATTGACATGTATGAGAAAATGTTGTTAAACATGAGTTACCTACCAGTATCAGTGAACAATCTGGAAGGATGGTCAATACCCGCTTCTAAATACATTGTTTTATAAGTCTTGCGATTATTTTATTTAATAGAATGACATGCCGTTTTGTTATATGGCGTATATCGCTTCTGAGGATAAATATAAATTTAAAAAAGAGGTTATCATGCGAAACCCTTGGCCGACTTCTTGGCTCGATATCAGTTTATGTCGACCCCAATGCATCCCTTTCGGAAGCTTCGATTAAGGAAAATATTGCGACGTGGCCTTGAACGGGCACCAAATAATGATGCAATAACTTTATTGTTTGCAAAGACACGAACAAAGATACGAAATCATTAGTCAGTTAACTTCCTCGTTTATTGATCTAGCTTTAAACTTGTAAGTAGTTCAGTAACTACCCATACTTAGACAGTTCCCATTTCTCTGCCTTGCCTAGTATTAAGATTAATAATTCGAGATTGGTATCTTTATTAAACTCTTTAGTAGAAGAATAAATATCATGTTGAGAATAGCTATTGAATAAAATTGAATGGGTTACCTCTGTCCGAAGTCATGGCAATGTAAATCCGCTTCATCTTCTTGTCTTTATCGGTGGGTGGTGGCGGTGCGATATCGGTCTGTGGTGCAGGCGGCGCCTCTGGCCCCTTCGTTTTCTTTTTATCATCAGGCTTGACGTCTACACGCCCCAGCACCAGTTGTGAGCTCTCATAGAACTTGCGTGGAGCGTAGCCAAACGGACGCGCTGCTTGCAATTCACGCTCCGCTCTTGTGAACCTGCAATTTGGCAATAACTTGTGAAGTCTACATATACAGCTGCTCAACTAACACCCATGGACATGAGGATTATTTAGAGATATTATACACAAACGATAGTCAAACTGGATTTATTGCATATGGATCGCACTGGCTATTCGGACGCCCATTGAACATAACTTAATCTAACATTAAGACATGCATACTACATTGTACTTAATTGATTGAAAGCTGATGATTACTTGCTGGCTGACACCATCTTCATCGTTTTAGTGATCTTTTGAATATTTTTTATTGATTTCAGTCGTATCGACAATTGCTTTAGTTGAACCATTATAGAGGCTCTATTTAATCAATAACTTCTGTATTATATAATACAAATATATACAAATATTAAATTAAGGTGTCATTATCAAAATAGGTTTGATTTTGTCAGATGTCAGATTGTATGACAGTTAGCATAGACGATACATTAAATGTATACGGAACTACACTCTGCCTAACATGTATACGACCTTTTACGACGATGGTGTCTACTGTCTGGGTGTAAGGGTGTACTAATGACACTCCTTTTTGAACAGATATTTATTTTGGTCAATTAACATGCAATTACACACCTTGTACTCCTTATGTGCTGGGTGCACAAGCTTCAAAACCGCAGCGTGTGGACGGCTATAAGCTGGTAAATATTCAGGAAATTGCTTCAGGAACTAGCGTGTTACGCCATGTACCTACCATGACAACCATAGCTCCATTGAGGAAGTGCCACTTTTTCTCTTCTATTCTCACAGACTACCAGCGGCAGATGCTGAAGTAATGTTACTTCATTTAATATGGTGAAAGAGAGTACCCAAGCCACTTTTTAAATGTACGAGTACAGAGGTACCATTACTTTCGAAGACAACAGTTTTCCACATGGTCAGCAGCTTGTGGCGCTTCGGATGTTGTAGGACTTTATTTAGACTACGACCACATACCATCAGTCGTTGTTGCTAGTGGCAGGTGCAACAGTTAAGTATAAAACAAAACGAAAAAAAGTAACTATTAAGTATCTAATCAGAATCTGCTATTTGTGATGTATTTACGATCCTACAGACTTGTCAAAATAATAGCTATAAATAAAACAAAGAACATAGTATAATATTGCAACCGTGTCACAATATTACGTGATCTATGGACTACAAGTGACAGTTACACTAAAACAGAAGAAATCAGTTTGGCGGCTGCTCGGTCGAGTTACTTTACCAGCACAAGCGCAACAATGCCTTATTTTACTTCATCAACGATATTCAAACATTCTGCAGCCTTGCGGAAACGGAAACGTTTCAGTTCCTGTTGCAATATTCTGCGTGCCAAAGACGAAGGCTTTATTATAAAAGTACTTTGTTGAAACGATTTCAGTCAATAACAGTCGGCGCAGGCGCAGTGTTCAGAGCTCAAGCGCCACGCACACGCTGCTAAGGACATTCACTTGTTATTGAGGTACGATTGTTCTCTTCAATCTGAATTTTGTTTTATAACTATTGATAATGTTTAGTGCTGCACGAATTGGCTATGCAAGTTCGAGTGTTTTTGGTGGACCATGCAGGCATCATTGGACAACGTTGTAGAATGTGTATTAAGTCGACAGGCACTCTCATGTGTCGCATCACATGAAAAAATTTTTAGCTATTATTTTACTATGGTATTTTCAAAGAATTATAGAAGATCAAAAAATAGACTTCGGAAAATGATGTTGATGTGTGAGCACTGCGCAGTATCTATTATACCTGACACTGACTCTCGGCCCGAGATTACTTCGCACACGTTTTATTATGATTACATCAGGCGGACAGCTATCAAACACGACGATAATTAATTTATTAGATACCTACGACTTCACTTGGAATCTACAAGTTTCATTCTAGAAGTTTTTTCCTCATTTTTCTTGAGTAGTAACATGCCTAACCTGTTTAGTTGATAAGTGAATACAGTTACTATAAACAGTGACGATGTAATTGATTTCGATAGTAGAGCTGTTTATCAAGACAATTGAACGTTTAATTCATTTTAGTTTATGTTATGAGATAAAGAGATAACGTATCGGGAGCGGTGCTCTCCGCCTCCGACCTCCCGACCTCGGGAGGATCGAAATTATTTCGATAGCGATGCAATTCATCAATGAACTCATCATTATGTACTCTCCACGAAACTTTCTCCAGTATTTAAACATCTTAAACCTAATTCTCCGAACATACTTCCACCTGTCGGGGCAAGGATTTACTGACTTAATAAAAATGTCATTATGTACTTTTAAATATGCTCAACAAATAACGATTTCTTTTCTTTATTTTCGGTCTTTTTTGAAATTATACGGGTACTTCAATTAGTAATAAGTATAATAATAGGAATACCGAGTCTTAATGACGTCGCAATGTGTAAGAACAAAGTTAAAATTTGTGTAGCGGGCACGAGTAGATCGATCGACGCGATCGACATATTTATTCATTAATTTCATTTTTAAATTCATTTCGTTTTTTTGTAACAATATAATTAATTTATAAAAAGTTCTTAAACGTAATAAAGCGGCTACATTGCATAGACGAACTTTTTATCTAATACACCGAGGTGACTAACAGACTGTGCTCAGCCAGGCATTTGGATGTGGTACGTAATACTATAGGTACTCACTATAATAGCAGACCGATTGACAGCTTAAGTACTGTGTGTGCCTTGCGATTGCGCTCAAATACATACTAAATGTAAACCTAGAAATAATCGATTGTCCAGCATCTAATCGCTAACCACTCAGTTGATAAATCTCTAGTAAAACCAGTCAGTAATATTTTCTTGTGTTGATGGATGACATGTCATCGTCGAGTATCTGTTTGTTTACTAGATGTTGTTGTTGTTGTCATCAAAATGCCGCATCCAAGACGTGCGGTCAGTGGTGCGTGTCGTGACGTCAAAAGAGCCTCATAAAAGCTGCGCGCGCGCCGCTCGCGTTTGTTTACACGCATAGCGTTAGCGTCGTACAGAGTGTCATATCGGTGTCTGGAGAGCTGCAAGATGATGAGAGTACAACCAGAACGCGAGGAAGTGAAGCTTTCCTCCTCGCCTCCTGACAAGGTTAGTCCTGGCTCCTCCTGCCCCTACCGCTATCTGATTTACTATTGTTACAAGCTCGCGAAACGCAATTGTCTTTGATTCATGATACAGTCCAGCAGTTTGTTTATATTATGTACGAGTTACTTCGAGTGGTCTGGTAATGGAAGCAGCAGCTTTGCATTGGCGAACCAATTTATGTAAATGCCCAAGTAATGAATGTTTATGAACGAGTAGTCGCCGGTGTCGCGGTAGATAGCCGATACTTAAGTATGTATCACAATACTGTAGAATGGAGAGAACTTGTACCAACTTCAATTATAAATAAAATCAATAAACTGTGATCCACAGTTGCAGTATTTTTATTTAAAGCTTGTTTCGTAAATACAGATTACAAACTTTTAATGTTTCGATCAATGACAAAGCGCTCAGTGCCCATAAAGATGCCATTTTCCAGTACTCTAGAACCTAGAGCCTACATAATCTTGTCAAAATATGTATTTGTGGCTTTTAAAAAATTGAGGATGAATATAACGAGCTGGATGATGTGAGCGAGAAATGCTAGTACAATAATAACGCCAAGTAAATATTATCACTATTAATGTTACGTTGGGTACACGCTTTGGTGTCATTACAAAATGTTTCAATTCAGTAACTGCCGGTCTCACACGCATTTAATGATTACTTTGACTATGACTGAGTTAAGTAACAATGAATTGTCTCTGAATATTTACTACATTTGCTTCATTAATGCACCGAAGACAAGAATACATATTTATCAATTCGTCACTATTTATTAGGTATTTGTTCTTGTTTTTGAAGCTTGTTTAGTGTGAGTTTCGCTAAAATAACGTGGTTTCGTTCTAGAAGGCAAATGTAATTATAGTAAATATTTCAAACTGGTTCTGCTACACATACCTTACCCGGAAACATACCCAATAAGTATTACAAAATGCGAACTTGTTCCTTTTGCAGTAGTTAGTTAAAACATTTATTTACGCGTGCGTGTAAACAAAGTGATTAGTTTTAATGTTATTTTCTTATTAACTACAATAACACTCTAGCATGTAGGTCGTAGGTTGTGGTATTTATTACGATATAATGATATTATTGTCCTAGTATGTACTGTAATAATGTGCAATCGTGTATTCATACAAATGGCAGCTCTCAGCGAGCTGGCTCAGGTATATAACACATTTTAACATTTCCAACTACATATTTGTGACATTTAACTGATAAATATAAATGCATAGAACATCTTCACGCAGAGCAGTTTGGAGATTCATTCAAAATACGTAAATGACACGAGTGAATAGTTTTGTAGGTTTTTCTTTTTTTGATGAAGGAAAATCATCCAATGTCTTCTTCCGCTTTAGGTTAGGCGAGAGGGTGTGTCTGACCCTTAATGACTAAAAACCACCCCGTTCCTACTCCTCTTCGAGCTGGAGCCCCGGCAACCCGTTAGGCCTTCCGTGACACCGTATCGGCGTAACAGTCCTGCTGGGCTCTATCTGTAGTGGTCTGATGGCTCTTTGAGAGGTCTGATTCTCTTCGCCAGTTCAATATCAATTAAATATCCAAAAATAATCACGCTTTAATTATTTTTCTTATGATGTGCTTAATTTTCGTGTTGTTATATATTTTTTTATGAAAAACGGCTATCATTAGACACAAAAACATTGAACCTTATAAAATTCCTAGGAACATTGAATTTGACTAGTTGTACTACCGTGGAGTACCGCATGTAAGCTACAACTTAAAAATAGTAGGAGACCTCGTTGGTCCAGAGGTCGGAAGCGTGCATGTCGACCGGAATGTTTTAATGTAGACAAGTGATTTTTAAGAATATGATATATATTACATTTGAATATCTAGATACTGGGTGTGTAATACGTAGTGTACTCGTAAACAGCATCTACTGTAACCACATCTACCATTCGCTTTGAAGTTACCCATGTACTGTACAGGTACACGCATAACTTCTAAACGACTCAAAATAAGATGCAATTGTTTTGTCAGGACTGGGGTTTCATGTTAAAAACAAACATACATATTAAAATCACAGTAATACTTTGCCCGACCCGGGAATCGAACCCGAGTAGCTCCTCACTTTGATTCATAAAATATTAATATTATTTTTTCCACCGAACCTTTTTTAGAATGTTTTAAACGATTGACTGATGCGGCCATTCGATACATGCCTATGTTATGTTGTAATGTGACTGTTGTCTCACCACGAAGTGACTGTGTCCTGAGTCCTGTAGAACCTGTGTAGAGTTGCCCGGCAGTCGCACTTGCGACCACTCGGCCAACGAGGCAGTCATGTCAAAAACAGTCAACAAATTTACAGGGGAGGTCGGGAAATAATGCTTGTATTTCATAATCAAGCTTTCTGTTGTCAAATAATGAGAATCATAATACATTATTCATTTCACCATAGTGTACTAACGTTAAGCCGCGGAGAACCTAACAGGTTACCGGGGCTCCGGCTCGACGTGCAGGAGAAGGAACGGGATGGTTTTTAGTCAGTAAGAGTCTGACACTCCCTCTCGCCTCACCCAGGTGGGAGCAGTTATTCGATGATTTTCCCTCCTTAAAAAAAAAATGTTAATCAAAATCTGCAAACCAATACCTGTGTTATTTTTGCTAGTATACCTAGATTTTTGCCTCAAGTTCCCAAACACGTTCTGGCAACTGGTTCACTACACTTTGAAGTAGTTTGAGCACAATATAATTATACAGGATGTACGCTAACTATACACTGACCGATATATATCTCACTCGGCATTTTAATACTTCCAATTAGTTTATCCTTCGTTTTGTATGTTTAGCCGCACGCTATACAAATCATACCCAGCTACCTGCGCGTGTCTTGCAGCAAATCAATGTTAATCTGTTGTAATAGTGTGTAGTGTTCTTACACATACCTCTATAGTGAAGTGCATTTTGATTATACTCGAACCATACCAAAAGTACACCATGTGTAGATATTTATACTATTCGATAAACTAGTGGCGCAGTGTTCGTAAGGAATTCGTAAGAACTTGGCAAGATGTGCCGTAGTATGAAACTCGATTAAGTGATGTGCCTCGTCTCATATAAAGTGCAACTCTGCTGTAAACTGCATGAAACCGATTATATCTGACGACTTGGAACGTGGCTCTGATGTTTATTAAAGTAATTAAATATTACGTAAGCACAGAGTCAGCCCAGTGTCACCGCGGTACACCACCACTGAGCTCATAGTTCGCGATAATTTTATCAATTTACTACGATTTCACAAAACAAATGTCACGAGTCGCGTATTCAAACTGGGGTTATCTGTAACTTATGATTTTTTTACTTATTATTGTGATGAGCAATCGCAGTAATAATGATAACATACTTTGTTATTATTTTATATATTCGCCATTATATTTTAATTAAACATTGATAACCGTTTTGTGGCGTCATTTTATTGGGCTTAATGCGTAATTATCAATTAAAAATAATAAAGCGTGCGCTGACGACAGGGTATGGCATATCTGTCACTGACCAGTACCCTCCTATAAACATTTTAATCTGCCATCTCCGATCTGACGAGCGTGCCAATTATGGCAAACCTAAAAACCTCTCATATAGAGGGAGCCTATTTGTCCAGTTGTGAACTGCCAAGGGCTGTTGGTGATGACCAAGCGGGCGTGTTCACGTTAGCAGACAATAGGAAGCTGGAGCCAACCCTTATTTGCCATACATATGCATAATTTAACGTTACTTCAAAACAAATAGAAGATAATATTTACCGCTCTGACGTCACTATAGTATACATAGTCTGGTTGCACACATGTCGGGCTATCATCTGAAGTACGGCCGGCTCGGGGTTATCGGTAACTCCACGCAACCTGGATGTGGCTGGAGGGGCGGCCGTTATCACTCCGCACCCACTACTCCGTGATGCAACACAACTTACCATTTCTTGTGTACTGTGCACCACTAGCGACTGATTCCCCGCAGTTATAGTCACCTACATTGCATTCATAACATTGTTCATTGTTCAAGTACACATTGATCTTCCATTTTGGACATATCCGGACATAGAGTATAATTTCCTAGTTGCTATGAAACTGTTATCAGAGTGATGTATCAGCAGTTAGTAGCTTAACACGCTGCTTTAAAAAATAATCCCAGGACTACTGACGTGTAATGTTTGTCATTAAATGAAATCTGCACATACATAACTCTAACAAAAAAACTCGTTTTACTAAGTGCGCAATACAGAAATTGGTAAAAATAACTGCGACAGGTCAATGACCTTGTATTTGGCTTGACTCGGTAGCTGGTCCATTTGTGAAGACAAATGGACCAGCGCAGCGTGTCCTTAGATTGTTGTAATAGCAATACACTTTCATTTGCTTCCAGCCCAAGCTAATGGAAGGGGGTAACTATATCCGCGAGGGTCGCGACTCCAGCAAGTCCACGTGGCTGCTGTTCTCCCCCGCGACTCCTGATGAAGCCGGCGCACTCGCCAAGTTCCTCAGTGTGTTCTCCTCACATGGAGTCAATCTAATGCACATCGAGTCGCGCTCCTCCGCCAGGCGGCCGGGGTACGAGTTCATGGTGGAGTGCGAGCACGGGGCTGGAGACTTCGGGGCAGCACTCGACGAGCTCAAGAATAACGTTGGCTACTTGAACATCATCTCTAGAAACTATAAAGACAACAGATGTAAGTCGTTCGTACAATGATTTCCCTTAACATGCACAAAAATGTAAAAATATTTATGTCTTACATAAATATTTATTGTAAACAGACGCGGTGCCATGGTTCCCTCGACGTATTCGTGACTTGGACAGATTTGCCAACCAGATCCTGTCTTACGGCGCGGAGTTAGACTCCGACCATCCCGGCTTCACTGACCCGGAGTACAGAGCTCGGCGCAAGTACTTCGCGGACATCGCATACAACTACAAGTACGGGCAGCCGCTGCCGCATGTCGATTACACCGAGCAGGAGATCGCCACCTGGGGCGCCGTGTTCAGAAAGCTCACCGAGCTGTACCCCACACACGCATGCAAGGAGCACAACCACGTTTTCCCGCTGCTCATTGAGAACTGCGGCTACAGGGAGAACAATATCCCACAGCTGGAGGACGTGTCCAACTTCCTCAAAGGTACGCCAATTCTATAAGTGTAACACACGACACGGCTTCTAAACTAAACTAATAGATTAGATTTTTTGCCATAATTATGTTTAATAAAAACTGTATTAATGAATACATTCCTTAACAGACTGCACAGGCTTCACTCTACGGCCGGTAGCCGGGCTCCTGTCCTCGCGCGATTTCCTGGCGGGGCTAGCGTTCCGCGTGTTCCACAGCACGCAATATATCAGACACCACTCGCGCCCCCTCTACACCCCGGAGCCCGACGTGTGTCACGAGCTGCTGGGCCACGCTCCTCTGTTCGCAGACCCGGCCTTCGCACAGTTCTCACAGGAGATTGGTCTCGCCTCACTGGGAGCGCCTGATGATTATATTGAGAAACTTGCCACCGTAAGTACTATAATACTAATACCAATTTGTGGAATTGAACCCTGCGGATTTAATGTGTATTTCGAATGGAACTATTATTGAAGTTGCTTTAATCTCGATACCATCTGTTCCAGTGCTTTTGGTTCACGGTGGAGTTCGGTCTGTGCCGGCAAGAGGGTAAATTGAAAGCGTTCGGTGCTGGCTTATTGTCATCATTCGGAGAGCTGCAGTACTGCCTTTCCGACCAGCCAGAGCTTCGGGAGTTCGACCCTGACACCACTGGTGACACCAAGTACCCTATAACGGAATACCAGCCGGTCTACTTTGTGGCGAACAGCTTTGAGGATGCTAAGGAGAGAATGATGTAAGTCCTTGTGTAGTGAGATTACTGTTTCAAGCATCACCTTGCACAATGATGTATTTTACTTACTCGTACTTAGATTTAGCCCTTAAACACTGAAATTTGAAAGAATTCATTTGAATAAAAGCGTGTTTTCTGCAAATTACAGAAAATTCGCTCAAAAGATTCCCCGTGACTTCGGTGTCCGCTACAACCCTTACACGCAGAGCGTGGACATCCTGGACTCGCCGCGACAGATGAAGGACCTACTGCGGGAGGTGCACCAGGAGATGAATCTGCTCCTCAACGCCATGGACAAGCTATAGAGCCAGGGACCTGGTGCCGGTGGTTCCGTGCTCACGGTGTTGTGGCCTGGCTGGACCGACACAACGCTACGCCATTCCACCTGACCTGACCAATCTTACTGTCACGACACTTGATTCATTTCACATTGTTGTTGACTATTTTTGGAATTATCATATTAAATTGCATGATCTAAATTATGAAATAAGTATATCCTCTATCATTTGGTACTATGTATAGGTATTATAGGTACGTAAGTACCTACTTGTTGATAAATATGTTGGGTGCGATATAGTTTACATGAAGTATCGCGCCGCTGTTGTATCAATAATTCTATTTGTTTTTGTAACGTATTGTATATAACTGATTTCTATTAAGTTATCTTTAGTTAATTGTAAGTTTAAGTTTAGGTTAATACGATTGATAATAAAAATATTGTTAATAACTTACACATTTTACTTGCAACGAGCGAATATTTGTCACTCCCATGATACTTGACAGTTCCCTACACGGTTGATATAACACTCGTGATGCGTCCGGTAGTGCGGGTGTATATTTAAGCTAGTATCTAGGTGATGTATGCGTACAGTTCTGTAAAGTCCAGTACAATATACATTTCGTTTTAATAACACTTGTAATGAACGGAGTACACAGTTTTCTTGGGTAAACAATAAACAACAGTCACAATTAACCAACAATATATTTAAAAATTTGTACAGAATAAACTTAAGTACCTAGTACTTGTAGCAACTAATAATAATTACAATAAAATGACAAGATGACGCGCTACGTTATGTCACTTACATCTACAATCATAAATTAATAAATATCCTATAGAGGGCGCGCAGGGCGGCGCGGACCCGCCAGCCCCACCGTGCTCTCATCTTATTTACAATAATGAAGTACTTTACTTACACAAGTTGTCTATTTACAATACTGAAGTGAATGAATCGGCCTTCGGCCGACTATACGCCAGAGTAATTGACAGGCTATAATGTATAACAACTCCAAATACTGAAATATCCTATTGAATTATTTTTACAGAGTATAGAGACATATGGTCAAGAATATTTTACAGATCTCATGGTATATATCTTGAAGACAGTACAATTCCAATAATGTTAAATTCAATGATTACTAGATCCAATGACTTAAACGTTGAGGAGTAAAACATTGCAATTCGAGAGTGAGTGGTGCGCCTTGCAGCAGTACCCTATGTGTCTAGTTAGTACATTATAAAGTATTTGAGTGACAATAAATTATTGCGGTGAGCTGTGTACACTACACATTACGTGAATATTAAAACATGTCACATTGACCTACGAACAGAGTTTGAAATGAGAAATGTTTGATAAAATCACATTGATGGTGTGCGTATCAACTTAGTGTCGACAGTCTAGCAGTAACTACTTGTACACGGACAGCAGCGCCGTGGCATACCGGCACTGTGGCTTAAAGTGGTGTCCGAATAATAAAATCTTATGTTGATATGTAGAGAAATTGCTTTTGTAAATATCACGGGAAATCGGCATGATCCTGACCGACCGTACCCAGCGGCAACCGGCAGCGCCCGGCGGAGGCTGGGACTGAGGGCCGTGCTGGGCTGGTCGCGAGTCGCGCTGCTTCTCTCTCTTACACGTAGGCCTACAGACTATACTCTGAAGTACTCTCTCAACTACTATTGCTTCTTCTTCACGTTACAGTGGCTACCTCTTATTACTATCTATGATTTGGCACTAAACTCTAGAGATTTATAAAATTGCAGAGATAATCTTATTTCAGTTAGATTTTAGTACAATACTATGAAATGTATACTTGTAAACTAATCGAAAACAGTTACGATAGAGAACGTATCACAGTTACTGGAAATAAATAAATAAATACAACTTTTTACAATAAATATCAAACGTCCACATTTAGGTGTATAAATTATGTTTAAGTAAGGATTTAGAATATGTATAAAGCGTGCTGCTATAGTTATTGCAAGTATGAGATAGAAATATGTCGTTGTCATAAGAATATTGTTACAAGGCTCTGATTGCCGTAGTTGTACAACCCGGCCATGTACTGTATGCGGATATACAACATGCACACAGACAGTAAGACCTCACAATCGTAGTACATCCGACCCTGGTGCAGTTAGAGGAATTTGTTGCAAACAGTATCGCAGGACACGGACAGTTGTGCACTGGTCCTCCGCAGCTCACACCTCACTCTGCATGCAGTGGATGGAGGAGTCCTCCGACAGCTCATCCATTGAAGAATCCGTGAAAGACGTTCCATCTGTAAATAGTATTTGAACTCAAATTACCTTCACATAGTTATAACTAATTGTTTAATTAAAACTGCACTCAACCCACTACGGGACCTGTAGAAGTTATAGCTAATATAGTACCTATATCGATTCGTCTTATGATCAATTGATGTTTTTATTGTTGTATAAAGTGAATCATATTTGGTAATAACTTTTGCTTTAAACTTATTTTTATTAATAGAATAATACAGATGTAGGGACACACTGTTGACGCTGTACTTTTGTGTTCCCAAGTGCGTACGTGCGCTGGCGTCGCACGGCAGTCGTCTCCCCGCAACCGAACTAGTAGGTCGTCATTTTTAAGTATATATCATGTAACTAGTACCAGAATTATATATCTCCAAATAAAATGAAGCGCATCATTTATCCACCACGACAAAAACACTTAGAACCCCCACACAGAACAACTTATTATGCCTGTCATACATTTTGTCACCGTACAATGTTGCCAAAGTTGGTGAACAGTACTAGCAGGGGATGCCGAGGTTGGTTGTCTCACTTTGGTAGACGACCAATCTTAACCATTGAAATGCGAACATTGTTCGGTGTTAGAGAATCGCTATTGAAATGAGGTGAGTCTTTTGCCACTGATCCCTAAAAATTAACAATGAGAAAACCAATCCGTGAGGCGTCTAACCTCGGTTTCCCGATGTTCATTGAACCATGAAACCGGAGAGCGATCACAAAGAGACGTTGTGTTTTGAATAACGTGTGGATTCTTACCTATCGGCACAAAAGGCGGCTTGTTCTGGAACGAGTAGGTGAGGTGCAGGTTGATGGGGCGGCCAAACCCCGCCGGGTCTGCGTCACGGGACACCACTGTGTAACACACAACACTCGTAAACACATGAGGGACTTAAACACTGTTCGCAGAGCTGCACGCCGCGCTAGCAACACAAGTCATTCGCCGTAAGTCGTGGAGTGGAGGTGACACTTGTTTCCACTGTACGTGCAGTGCATTCAACCAAGCTTTACCACGATCCCAGCCGAAGCAAGTGTCTCCCACTGGACGTACTTGCGCAGGTGATACTAACATTGGCTTTGCTTGCCCTTCCCGGTGTGCTGGTGCTTCTTCTGCCTGGCGCGGCTGTTCTGGAACCAGACTTGCGTCACCCGCTTGCTGAGCCCCGTCACTTGCGCGATCCGCTCCAAATCCTGTCCGTCAGGGTTGGAGTCGAGCTGGAAGTTCGCCTGCAGAACCTGCAGCTGCTCCTCAGTGAAGGTAGTGCGCACACGTTTCGCCTTGCTCTTGTGGTAGCCTTCCGAGTCGCAGCCGTCTGAAGTTGACGTCATCGTTATGTCAGTCGCATACTTTGGAAAAGTCCCATGTAATAAGGGATGAACTTATGATCATATTTATAAGAATACAATTCGAAACTCCGAGTGTCATTTCGGGAATCGAACCCAAGACCACTTACTCAGAACCAACAAGGCATTGAGTTTATATGACTGTTGAGGTGCATTTATAATGTATGTAGCCAGTTGCTGAGGCTTCGACAGGTTTACCCACGACGTGTTACATGGAGTAGAAGCGCTGTTTTATAGTTTACTTACGGAAATAAATATCACCTCGACCCAAAAACTGGTTATGTTGCTTGTTTAAGGTTAACAGACTGGAGTTTCAGATCTCACCATCAGAAGAAATGGAGCCACCGTCGAGTGTTTCCAAGTAGTGAGGCTTGCAAAGCACCCTGTCCTCGTGCAGTGCGAACTGCTCGCCGGTGGAGAGCTGGCGGCCGCAGGCGTCGCAAGCGAAGCAGGCGAGGTGGTACACCTGCTCCCGTGCCTTGCGCACCCAGTCCGACGACGAGATGCCGCGGCAGCACTTGGAGCACTTCGCGCCGAAACTCCTGCGCAAACACACACGTCATGCTGCCGGACTAACACAACATGATCGCGAGCTCGTCGCGAGCTCTTACTACACACATACATACAGCACATACTAACCTGGTACAAGCTAATTACACAAGTACAGCAAGGAACATCAACACCTTGTTCTCGCAATACGATCTAAATGATCTAATGATATTAATACATTCATGGCTATTCCAAACACTGTTGATTAAATAAGTATTATGGAAAGGTTGCAGAGGTCTTAAACAGATACCATTTTAATGAATCCCGCCACAAAATAGGGACCTACTATACTGGTGACATATCTACACATTTTTTTATTTGTCTTACTACTCGTAAGGACATTAATAATTCTAGTTGCACCATAAGTACACGTACTACTGCTATGTGTTAGTGTGGGTGCATTAAGTGCATCAGTATAAAAGTAATGTCTTAGTTTTTGCCAACAATCGATGGTATTGCTCAAACCGATAAATACGCCATTCATGTGTAAAATATTAGCAATCGTAGATCAAGCATGTAAAGATGGTAAACGTATGTTTTGATGGCGAGCCAATAGGTACACGTCGGCGAGACCTTGTCGGTGTCATTGAAGCATCACCGCCATTATAATTGCGCAAAGCATACACAGATCATAACAAAAAGAGTTCGCGTAGCGAATGTAATGTTCTCGCTGAGCGGCCTGCGCATGCGCCTTCCACGTGTGTTACTACCAGCACCTAATTACAAGATGTAATATATTATAGGTTTTCAATGGATTCCAGCGAGGTACACATGTGTCTCGTGACGAGCTCGCGGACGCGACAGCACTGACTGAGCCCTCGGTCAGCCGGCCGGAGCCCAATGAGCACTTTATTTATGTTGGAACGCTTTATGAGTCATTATAGTTTGTACTGCCATAATTGTTTGGTATAGTAATCTTGTTGATATGTTTTACGAGCAGGCTGACATTAAAGCGCTGTCGCGGAGGAGGGCGCAAGGTGCGCACCACCTTGCTTTACTTCTAACTGACATTTATTAGCAATTACACTAAAAGTTTTGATCTTTAAGTAAATACGTACGTAGCTTCTTATCACTAGGATTTTTTGGGACATACTGCCTATTGCCACGATGTATATGACTAGCGCGACAGTCACACGTACCTACCTCATACATTCGATAATAAACAGTTAATTATGTTCAATAGTATCAAAGTAATGTAGAGTCTCCTTCGTACTGCCTGATTCGCTCTCTAATCTGTAATAATTCCGATTCCGACAATAAAGATACTTTAAACGCCTATAATTTGATGACTCTGTTCCAAAAATACGTACACGAACACAGAAACCGAGGTTAAAGTCAGCTGTCTATTTTTTAATCCAACCGACTTTTAGAATATCTCTTTCCTCAGAAAACTTCTTCATCTTCAGCCATATGTTGTCCGTACCTGGACATATGCGTCTTCCGCCAGGCCTTTCAATATTGTGCCTTCTGCATCAGGTCCTCCGTATCGTCTGATGTCGTCCACTCATCTTTTGGGTCTGGTACTCGTGTGGGGTCGGTTATGATTAATTTATGATGACAAGTAGTCAAGGGCAGTACGAAGAAACTTTGGCACCTTTCGACCAAACGGCAGTTGCTTCGTGTAAAAAGTTGAGACCGGTAGTGCTCCATGTTATACAGGTAAAGATAGCCATTAAAGTGGTGTAATGAGTTTAATAAAATTGTGTCCTCAGTCCTCACGTAACACGACAAACAAGACACTTGTTTATGAAAGTCGGCGCTCGTTATCAGCGCGAGTGGTGAGCGACAAGTGCGCGGCTCCCGAGCCCCTCATTAACATTCGCGAGCCCTTCATATTTAATTAATTAAATAAACGCATGCAACACACCATTAACACGCTATCATATCACTTAACGCGAACATTAAAACGGTCCTGTTTGTTTTTTATACATTCAAATCTGTTGGCGCGCCGCCGCCGCCGCCGCCGCCTCTCTGCCCGACTCCCTTGCTCCGACAATTCATTATTCCTAAAGTGTGTCACAATTCCGCATTCAATGAAATGCCTGTAGTTCATAACAATATCCTGTTTAACTAAAACAGGCTTACTAGGACATCTAACGTATTCTACGTTGCAAAAAAACTTAAGTGTAATTATATGAGTTAGATAATGAGTTAGACATCTTAGGAATATGATTGTAAGTACCAAAGTCCTATGACTTTGGTACTTACAATCATATTCCGTCTTGAGGCAAATCGTCAAATAAATTATTTGGCCAGAACGAAACCTATATGATCACATTCTTTTATACTTTGTATCAATGGTTTCCTGTTGAAACTGGTTGAGAGATCCAAAGTAGAGCCGTTACCTTCCAAAGTATGTATTTGCACTCAAATGAATGAAACAAGAACGAGGAATACAATTTATACGAGAAAAGTTAGGATAGCTGTTATCATGTTATGTATTGTGGTGTGGTGATGTTTGGTACACAGACTTAGGACACACACTACAGGTAAGCTACATGCCCTATGTGGGAGTTGATTACATCGGCTCGAGTTGAAGTAACGCAGTGACGTTATGTAATAACAGATGGCTTGATGTTCTTTATCATTTATAAAGATATATGAATTGCATTAATGGTGGCACGCACACACGCGCACACCACTACGCTATCGATAACACAGCTGTACACAAAGTGCAAAATCGCGTGTTACACGTATATTAATTCAGTCAGCCCCGTCTCTTATCGGCGCTATCCACACCAATATTCCAAAAGCACGATTTGCATTTCAAAACGTAGCGTCTTCGGACAGAAGCACCGTTTCACGAGCGCTATCACCACTTATTAACATTTTGTCGTCGGCTGAATCAATTAACTGCGGCCCTCGCATAATAATTAACTAAGTGACAGATTAACAAGTTTTAACACTCGGCGATAATGAAGATGTCGCGTACCGGAGCCAGATAAGCGTGTTCCCTATTCATGGGGCCTATGGAGGGACGGGGAGGTCTAAATCTCGCCTGCTCGATGCTATCTCTACACTGAGAACCATTCGGTATTTCTGTTTATTAAACAGATGACCAAATCCGTATATCCCGAGGGCGTTTGACAAAATCGGGTGCGTGCCGTGCGCGGGCGCAACGCGGTCCGCCCGCGGCTCTCTCATAAATCGTCGCTCGTTGATTGCTTTCCGCGCGCGCGCCTCTCCCCTGCCTGCCATCACATTTTAATATCCATTCAGAATCGCGTAGCGTCCCTCCGTCCTCCTCTGTCCTCCTCTGTCCGGCGTATGATTTAAGTTATTTGTTTTAGATGGTGTTGTACGGAGCGAGTTTGTTTTAACAATTTGGAGTCAGTGTTACAGCGAGGTGCCGCGGGCGACGCTGAGCGATGGCCGCGCGCCGACACAATGCGCCACGATAATATAACCTTCATGAACATTCGACCACTGATTTGTTACTATAACTTTTTTAATTACTTTGCTTTTATAAGAGTTAATGACACATAAATTGTTATCAACAGCTCGGCCGACGAGCGACGAGCACCGTCACACGCACCGCGTAGGCGCATCGATTGCATTACTTATTACTTATAAATTGTGTTTACCTATAATATATTTGTTAGTAGTCTGTCTCGAGTAAGTTACGTGTGACTGCGTCTATAAGTTTAACTGGATATTATTGTTGTGGTTTAATTTGTTTGAAAATTCGAAAACAATGTCGTAGCGCTAGTTTCATGTAAATTGGGAACAAGGGAGAGAGAATAATAATTGTAAATCGAGTAGCAGCGCAGATTACTCTCTACATTAAGGCCTGTTCACATCAGGGCACATTAGGTATCCGCCATAAATTCAGAAAGTGTCTGGTGTTTGGTGTGAGTGTTGGCAGCCTTCGCTGAACACTCGGACATGGAATTATCATCACGGCTCGTAGCAGGTAATTAGTAATGTTAGGCTAAAGTGTTATACTGTACTTCTCAAATGCTTTTCACTCAAGACACACGGGGTCTGAGTAATTGGGTATTAATGTTCTATAATTAAGTACTATTCATTGGTCACCCCCTATTCCATAGGACTCATAACATAAATAGTGATAAGTGGGTGTTACATTGTACAGTGGCATTAAGTGCCGTAATGTTCACCTCTGCCTACCCCTTCTGAGATAAAAGGCGTGATGTTATCTTATGCTCATTGGTCATGAAAAATATCGTCCGTTAAACGTTTATAAATAGAATAAATAAACACTTGAAACACTTAACTCTGGCTGTGAAGCAGCAACATGTTGTAGAATACAGTCAATCAGCCGGCAGGCGGCGGGCGTGTTCTCGAGCGGAGTGTCGATATTTCGAGTTATGATAAGACCAGGCTGCATCAGCTTGCCATTGTTTATTCTCAATGGATCGATCTAAGGCAGGACTTATTTATGCGGCTAGAGATTAATTAAAGCCAAGAGTGGACATGGTGCATTTACATAAGACACGGCGCGCGCATTTGCGGCGGGCGAGGCGTGGGCGGGACATCGCGTGCGCCCGCGCAGCCGCGCCGCGGTCCTCTCTCACTCCGGCCGGCGCATGGTGCTGATATGTGACTCGCGGATATGAAATTGAGATCATTATGTGTACCCAATACTACGGTGACATTTTATAAGCTCCCGTTGATCCTGCAGTGTGAGCGTAGTGAGCGCAGTCTCCGGCCACACTGTTGAAGCAAGCTCGTTCATTTCTGGGTAATTCTAGTTAAGTAAGTTGCCTGGTGAAAATACCATTTTATAATTTCGTAAAGAAATATGGAAAGCACGCAAATTGAACGTTAGCGACAATTATTGTAACGCAAACGATAATAACAACGACGGAGGCATCGTATATCCGGCCCTACTTGTGTTAACAAGCCGCGCAGTGGAATAAAGGTGCGAGTGGGCTGGTAGTGGCCAGTGGCCGCGCAGGCGCAGTCGCTACCAGACAAAAAGACGCGCTAAATAAACAATAAACAGATGATACATCAAGGAAAGCAATCACCG